AAATTTTAGGGTTTCTTATAGGATTTTAAGTAAAGAAATTAGAAATTTTGGGGTTAAAATAGAGATTTGAAAAAATTAATAACCAAAATGAATAATAAAGAAGAAATAAAGGACTAAATTGTAATAAACTTTTCATTATTCATCATCTTGTTCTGTCCCTCTTCTATGTCGAGCAATGGCGGAACCAAGGCATTACGCTGTCTCTATCTCCTTCCTTTTGTCGTCAACCTGAATGGCAAAGGAGGCTGAGCCCCACTACGCCACCCGTTGTCTCTTCTTGCGCAACCTACCATTGCAACTGTCTACGCTCCCTTCACCCCCTATCTCTCTCTCTCTTCCCTTGATTTGCCTAGGTGGTTAATTCCAACCTGTTCGCCGCATCAAACCACTAATTCCAGCCGCCGACCATGTATCTTCTTGCCGATCTCCTTCACATTGCCCGATTACTCTCCCCTTCCATTTTTGATCCTTCCTCCTTGATTGCTCTGTCCTTCCATTTCTGAATCTATATCTTTGAAACTTTCTCTCTTTCTAAAACTCTATCTCTCGAACCCATCCTTGGAACTCTCTCCTTTTAACTCAATTACTCGGCCGCTTTATCTAGGTTTGGCCATTAAAAGAGACCAAGAAAGAATTGAGGGAAAAGAGGATGAACAATAGACTGAGAAGATTGAATAAAAAATAACATTAAAAATTGAGTTAATTACTATCCTGTGTGACCGCATCTTTACTTTTGGTAGAAAACAGAAAAAAACAACTTTTAGTTGTTTTCTAATTTGTACCCATTTTTAAAAAATGATCTCCAAATATAAAAATAAAAATAACTCATCAGCATGTTTTCAAAACTGTTTTTTATTTTTATTAAAAATGAAAACAAAAAACAGCCTACGCAAACAGGCGCTTAGTTTTTAGTTTTTTAACAAATTAGGTTATCTTATATTAAATAAATCAATTATAAAAAGTTGGAAAACAAATATGTTTTCAAATCATTCAAAAATATGATATTGGATTTCTGAGTTTGACTTTTACACTTAAAAAAGACAAAAGCAACCACAAAATATGATTTTACGATTATTAAGCCCAAGTCTAGTGAACGGCAAAAAACTGATTTCTCACTCTCTATCCTAAATTCCAAGTAACGAACATTCCCAAGATGAGCAAGTTTTGCTGAATGGCTTAAAAATGATAGGAGTTGAAAATTTCAAGTTCTTCCGTATCAGATATCCATGGCCAGCTCTGCATGCTTTTTTCAGTGCAGGACAGTTAAGAAATTTGGTGCCGTGACGGCTCGTTTTGTTCCCCACTTGAGCCGTTTGCCGGTATAAGGCTTTCTGGGTAGATGATGTTCGTTTTGCATTTCCCTTCGGATAAGACTATTCTAAGGGAAAGAAGGGATAGACTTCCTTTCTCTCTCTCTGCAGCAAACAGAGCATATGTTTGTCTTGCATTTCCCTTCTGACAAGACTATTCCTAAGGGAAGGAAGGAATAGTACTATTCTCTTTCTCTGCCGCAAACAGGGGTGCTTCCATTGGTTTGGATCTTACTGTAGCAGCCCACTGGAGGCTGGACGAGGACAAAGAGAGATGGGTTGTTCCTTCTTAGCTGGCATATTACTTCTGAAGAATGAAGATCCGTCTGGCTGCCTGGATGACCCATTTCATTCTTTCACAATTGACACATTTATTTCTAAATTCAATTTTTTTTTCTACTGATATCTTTTTTGCAACAAAAAATATATATATATATATGCTACTCTGTTTGGGAGACAGTTCTTGCAAAATTTATAAGTTCTAGTTTTTTTCCCCTAAAAATTTGAGCTTGCAATTTAATTTTAAAATATTTAATAAAAATAATTAATTAATCTCTTAATTTTGGATCAGTTCACTATTTTAAGAACCATGGTAAACTATAGTATTGCTACCTACCTTCCTGCTAACTCCTTATAGAATCGAAATCACCTCTTTTTGGTTTCTTAAATGAAAAAACACGCTGATAAAGCTCAAAAGATTTGGAACTTTTGACAGCATCAAAAGATAGAAGAAAAAGCTTCAATTGGGTTAAACTTTTTATTTTTGGATTTTATTTTTATTTGTTATTACGATAAATTAAGTTTTTAAAAGTCAATAAAATAATTATTGGAATTATAAGTATGAGATAAAAAAATAAATTATGTTATTCCAATTAACTTATGATAATTTTATTTTTATTTAATTAAATTAAATTGGAAAATAATTAGAATAAGATATCTGATTTTCATTTTTCTTTATATTTTTTTGGGCACACGAGACCCCTTAACAACAGTTAAATGGAGGTTCACAGAAAATGTATATTTTACATGACCAGAAAAATCTTTAAATAAAAATAATTTCTACTTCGCGTGGGGGTTATAAAAATGGTAGAAAAAAAATTTCTATATATGATACGGCCTTTGTGTGGCCTTCGCTAAACTCATATCTCTTTCTCTCTTCCATTTATCTCACTAGATTATCTCCTCCTCGCCTGCGTTCTGCTTCAATCTGACACTGGCTAACCCTTTCTGTATCCTCGGTACCCTGTAATTTGGCCGAAATTCGAAGTTCCCGAGACAATTTAATCTCTGAACGCAAATCATCTGATCATTCACCGCAATCGTGGTCTCTTTTCTATATATGTGCATGTTTTCGTAGGTATATTTACTTGTGTTTTGAATCGGTAAGCTCTCAATTGGACTCGTTAGATACTCCTTCGGTGCTGTGTTGCCTTTGCTATGCGTTGATGTTGATGAGGTTGCTCTGCTCCAATGCTTCGCAATAGAGATGGCTTCTGCTTCTTCATTATCAGGTTTGTGTCGATATTTCGATTTCGATTCTATTGTTTTTCGAGTAACTGATATTTGAGAAGGACGTGCTCTGTAAATTTCGCAGTTTCTGTGGAATGTGTGAACATATGCAAGTTCTCGAAAGGGGATGGAAGTGGAGATATGACTGTAGCATCTTCTCTTGCGCGTGGAAGGCTCCGAGGGCATTGACTGGTTTTCTTGCAAGCACTGCGCATCCACCTCAGTCTTCCACCTCGCCATATGGAGGAACTCGGAGAAGGAATCGTTTGAAATGTGTAAGCCTACTCCTATCCACTTCTTTAAATCTTGAGCCTGTACAGATAATTTTTCTCCTTTATTATTTTTTTCCTGAGTTTTCTGGAAGAAGTGGATAGTTTGAAATTTCAAGAAGAACGTATACGAGAAACAACAGGAAGAAGAGAAAAAAAAAAAAATCGACAGACTGTACAATAACTTGAGAATTTTTTATCAGGAGAGAAGAAAATGAATTATTAATATTTGCCGTATGTCTCTAGAACAGGGTACTGGGAAACCAACGTGAGGCGGTCAGTTAACTGGATTCCTCTGAAGATAAATTTAGATTGGCCAAATAAAGGGACTTCTATTCAAAAGATAATAAATTTATGTTAAGTGTTTTCTTTAAGTTTACGTGGTTAGTTGGTTTCCATTTAGAACCAAGATTCTATGGTACTGATTATATTATGATTGGATCTTTTTACGTGTGTCAGAGATGTGAAGCATCTCGTATGGGGCGTTGGTACTCCACTGAAGCTTCTGAATTTGTAGTCCCTGCAAGACTCTTAAGGTCAAGTTTTCTACGTTGTAGAAAATGGCAATCTTGTTGCTCTTCCCCCTCTTCTCCAGCAGCCTATAATGAAGTTTCTCCTGAAAGTTTGTGGGAGGTGAGTATCTGTTGCTGTAACAGTACTTCAATGTTATGATTACTATCTGCAGAAGAAGCACATATACTCTTTCATTGAGTCATGGCTTACCTTCTTTTTTTTTTTGTTGGGTATGACTTACTAGGTCTGAGTCTTCCTTCAGAATACTATCCATATAAAGCTCTACTAGTGGCATTTGGATTATTGTACATCAATGTTTTCCCATGGCAGAAACTAAAAAAGCATTTTGTCAAATAGAAACATGCAATTTATAACGTTTTATCAGAAGCTTTAAACTAATTGCTTAATGCTGATAATTATGTTGCTTATACTTCTTCCTGGTCTGCCTTGATGCCTGCATTCATCTTGACCTGCAATGTACCATTACTAAGCTTCAAGTTTAGTCTAGCATCATCCATGCTTTTTGGCTGTGTCAGTTATTGGTGAAAGTGGTAGCATGAATAAGCAGGAAATGCCAAAAAAAAGTGTAATTAAGGACCACTTCAGTTTAGAGCTTTACCCGATTGGTAAAAATTTACTCTCAAGGCAAAGTAGAAAAGCCTTTTGTCAAATCTACTAACCATATAATTAAGTGAGAAAGGTCTGTGGTGTACCATTCATCAATCTTCCCAGATTTCATAATTAAGGGAGGGGGATCATTGGAATTTCATAGTTGGAGAATTTGGACACTGGGACTGTGGAAGGAATTAAGAGAAGTTACTGTTATTAATTCACTTAAGGCAGGGAGATATTGGGATTGTATAGTTGGAAACAAGGCAACTGGGATTGATGAAGAAGTCAAGACAAGCATGGATACTTGATTTCATTGTTAACTTGAAATCAAGTCGCACTGAAGTCAGAATCTTGTGGTAGTGGTTGCTAATGCTTTAGTGAACTAATCAACTTGAGTGGAAATATAACAAGGTGTGGAAAATATAATTATTAGGCAATGCTAAAGCTTGTTAGGAAGAAATCTTTGAGTATTTGAGTGAAAGGATTGGAATGTAATTGCTAGTCTCCTTCATTTTGTAATGTCGAGATTGAAGTTTGATTTGGAATGGTTGGCTATGTTTTTGATATTTGAGGCTAATGTAAATTAGTAAAGAAATTGGTTATAACCTCTAGCAGTTATGGTGACTGTGAATCACTCTTGAATTCTCTATTTTATTTTATTAAATGAGAAGTATAAGTTTGAATCTTGGATCATAATAAGTTTGTTATGGATTTGAGTTGTGGAAACAATCCCTTTACCAAGCAGGAATAAGCTTACTTACATGTTAAGATCCTCCCTAATCCTCACATGGCAGTAAATATTTCTTTTTTATGATTTCTTTTTATCACATAAATACTTGCTGCTTTCTGGTTGAAAGGGTAACTAAAACTTAAAGATGTGAATGAGTTGTGCATGTGGAACATGTGCAGTATTAATGTCAGTTTCTTTTTGATTTTTTGGCTTGCCTCAGGATCTTAAACGTACTATTTCATATCTTCCACCTAAGGAGTTGGAATTGGTTCAGAGTGCTCTAAATGTAAGTTTCTTGTATTCACCAATTTCTGCAGTCTATATTTGTGATTTTCATCCCTTTGCCTTTTTAATAGACCGAACTTCATTTCAGTATTGACTAAATATTTCTTCACCTGATATGTGAGAGAGAAAGAGAGATACCCATTCATTATGATATGCTCTTCCTATGATGGGATTGACATCGTGGGCATGTGCTTTTATCGTTAAAGTTTTCCGGCTTGGTGGATTTTACAGCTAGCTTTTGAGGCACATGATGGTCAAAAAAGAAGAAGTGGAGAGCCCTTTATTATTCATCCTGTTGAAGTTGCACGAATACTTGGAGAGCTTGTGAGTTATGTAAATTTCTGAAGGGTTCTTTTTGATGAAATATTTTATCTCTATCAGCTACTTTATGTCTGTTTTTTTGTGATCAGCTACTCTGCTTGACTACTAACTACTTTTTTAGGAGTTGGATTGGGAGTCAATTGCTGCTGGTTTGCTACATGACACAGTTGAGGATACAAATGTTGTTACTTTTGAAAGAATAGAGAAGGAATTTGGTCCTACTGTTCGCCACATTGTAGAAGGAGAGACTAAGGTTTCCTTTTAGGTTCCCAATTTTATTATTATAAGCTAAAAGTATTGGAATTCTTTTTGGAAATTCAATATCTGTGTTGCTTTTAATTAGGAAATTAGATCTGTTATTCTAATCCTCATGTACTTTAGGTCTCCAAACTGGGAAAACTGAAGTGTAAGAATGAAAACCATTCTGTACAAGATGTGAAAGCAGATGATCTCCGGCAAATGTTCCTTGCCATGACTGAGGAGGTGATATTTGTTATATTTTTCAACTGATCGTGTAAAAATGTTTAAAGCCCCTAGGGAACTGAAGCAGTTGTTTTTCAGGTCCGTGTTATCATCGTAAAATTAGCTGACAGATTGCATAATATGCGCACTCTTTCCTACATGCCTCCTCATAAGCAGGTAGTGAATTTTCATTTGGTATTGAGTTGGGTTAGAACCATTTAATTATCAATGTTCTTGACATTATTTATTGTGTCCAGTCCAGCATTGCCATGGAGACATTACAAGTATTTGCTCCTCTGGCAAAACTGCTAGGGATGTACCAAATCAAGGTATTTTCATCTGCTTTAGTCCATATTTTGACACTTGGTTTGTGTTTTGAAGTGTTAGTCCTGCTACTTTCTTACTTATGAATGTCTGTATCTTCCACCCACATATTTCACTAATCTGCTGATAACTTCTTGCAGTCTGAACTTGAAAACTTATCCTTCAAGTACACAAATCCTCAAGATTATGCTAAAGTCAAGAGAAGAGTTGCAGAACTCCGTAAGGAACATGAGAAGGAAATCAGAGAGGTACATTCTTGCTAGTTCTTGGGCAAGAACAATAGCATCTTTGTACTGTATCATATTACATGTCAAAACTATTATGAGGGGTTCTCATTTTTATTAGGCAAACAAAATTTTGGTGAAGAAGATAGAGGATGATCAGTTCCTAGACCTTATGACAGTGGAAACTGAAGTTCAATCTGTGTGTAAGGAGCCTTACAGGTATATCAATATACTTCTTTTTTCGGTATGAATTTCAACATGGATACTAGCTTTTAAATGTTCTATTTTCAGAAAATTTCTTCAGATGTTAAACTAATTTGTTTAGTACTTTATTCTTTTGCTTTTATCTTAATGGACACTATCATCAACTACTTTTCAGTTTTTGTCATGGAGAAATGCCCAAAGTGTAGTTTTACAAGTGATTTAGATTTGACAATTGCTGAGTACAATTTCTAAGGACACGCAATTATATATATTTTTTACTGTTTTCCATTTATATTTCTACAAATTTTGTCAACTGGCAAGAAAAATGTGTTTGATAAACTGTATGTACCTTTTACTTTTTAAAAGAAAAAAAACTATTGCCAGGGTGTACAAGGTTTTGAAAACAAAATATTTGTTTGCACTTTTTTGGTTTTGATTTGTGTACAAAGCCTTCATGGCCCAAACAAGTGTATAACCTAGCCAACGTGTTCTACTTTTTAGAAATATGAATTTCTCTTTTCATGTAGCTTTTCCTTTACCATAGCCAGATGTTTCATGAGCTGAGCAGTTTTGTGCTGATGCCTTTTTCTTTCTTTCTTTCTATTTTTTCCTCCTCTTTGCAGCATCTATAAAGCTGTACTTAAATCTAATGGTTCAATAAATGAGGTCAACCAAATTGCTCAGGTTTGCTGCAATATATAAGTTGACAAATAATTGATTTTAAATTTTGTATGTTTTATACTTTCTTATCAACATAAATTCATTTGTTTGGATTACAGCTTCGAATCATTATAAAACCAAAGCCATGCATTGGAGTTGGACCTTTATGCAGTGCGCAGCAGGTAAATTCTCACCCATGGCAATAATTATTGCTTCTCTTTTCTGAAAAAGACTTACATATTCTTGTATACTACATAGCTCTATCTCATAAAATGAAACTGTTGCAGATCTGTTACCATGTTCTTGGGTTAGTACATGGAATTTGGACTCCTATTCCTCGATCTGTATGTCTCTTTTGTTCCCTATTATGAATGCGTGTTTAGTTTTTTTTTTTTCCTTTTTTTTTTTGGGTTATTGATTTATCGGAGAGTATTGACTTGATTTCTATAACAGATGAAAGATTATATTGCAACTCCCAAACCTAATGGTTATCAGAGTCTTCATACCACTGTAATCCCATTTCTTTATGAGAGCATGTTTCAGCTGGAAGTTCAGGTCAGTTCTTGGATCCTTGCTCTTTAAACTTCACAGTTTTAACTGCTGTTCTAAATCAAATCCTTATTCTTAGTCACTTATTTAAATATCCGTTACTGTGATATTCAGTTAAATGGTTTCTTAATTTTATGTATTTGGTGTGCCCAGATAAGAACTGAAGAGATGGATCTGATCGCTGAGAGAGGCATTGCCGCTCATTACAGTGGAAAAGGGTTAGTTACGGGTTTAGTTGGACATGCAATGCCTAGTGGTAAAATTTCAAGAGGGAAAACAGTCTGTCTTAATAATGCAAACGTTGCCCTCAGGGTAATTTACATTAATCTTCTGACAATTTTGATAGTTTATAGGCTCAGGGAAGGATTTCTCTGACAAGCTCTTCGGAGCCCCCTAAGTTAGAAGCCCTTTCTTTCTTTCAGATTGGTTGGCTCAATGCAATTAGAGAGTGGCAGGAGGAATTTGTTGGAAACATGAGCTCAAGAGAATTTGTGGACACTATCACCAGAGATCTTCTAGGTAGCCGTGTCTTTGTATTTACACCAAGGGGAGAGGTAAGAAGACAGATTACTGCACATACTAGAAAATTATGCTGAGTGATGCCTCAATGACCTGTATCATAATATATGCAGATTAAAAACCTGCCAAAGGGGGCAACGGTTATTGACTATGCTTATATGATACACACTGAAATTGGGAACAAGATGGTTGCTGCCAAGGTATTTTTCTTGCTTTCGACTGTAGAGATGTTCTTATGATTCAACATCTCAATGCTGGATTTGTACCTGATTGCAGGTCAATGGTAATCTTGTTTCTCCTTTGCATGTACTTGCAAATGCTGAAGTCGTGGAGATAATAACTTATAATGTAAGTAAGATTAGTATTTCCACATTTACCTGTTTGTGGAGTTGAGATATTGGCACCTCATGCTCTTAGAGCAAACAATCTTACACAGTTTCATTTTGATATTTTTGTGATCCCTACTCTTGTTTTACCCTACTAGGTCATTAGTATGGTGGTTTCAGATCCTCAAGCAAGATGGAAATGTCGATCAGCTAGGTTTGAATCACCTGTATATTTTACAACATATTAGGACATAGATTAACTTAATTCAATCAACTTCTGTCTTAGTTTTCTCCTGAAGATAATGTCAAAAGTTTGATAGAAGTTGGGAAAAAAAAGTATGCAGTGTTTCAGAGGAGTCTGGTAACATGTAGAAAACATGATGGAAATCTGATTAAATACATATAGGAAGGCTCTTGCTGTAACTACGGAGTATGAACATGAAGGGGAGAAAGAAGCAGCTGCAATATTAGTTTTTCTATCTTTTCACTATTTTTATATGCTATATTTGGTTGTCTTGTTCAGTGCTGTTTGGCTAGCCATCCATATGCTATTTTTGCTCAAGTTACAGGGATGTGTTTATTTACAGGATCCCTGTTTATTTTTCCTGCTTGGGCCTTCTCTATCATCCCTCTTTCCTGTTTAGGTGCTTCAGTGCAGCTCACTACCTTCCTTGTTTCCCAGGCACTCTCCAGCAAATCAGCATTCCAGAGACACAAGCAGTGGTTGCAGCATGCGAAAACACGGAGTGCTAGACACAAAATTATGAAAGTGGGTATTCTGTGCTATGGATTTTTGAATGGTACTTTTAATACCCTTTTAATATTCTGTGTCTCTGGTCTATTCTTCTTAAGGTTCTTGTTTTGTTCAGTTTTTGAGAGAGCAGGCTGCACTATCAGCAACTGAAATAACAGCTGATTCGGTAAATGAATTTGTTGCGGATCATGAAGGTGATAGCAAGGCAGAAGAGCTCACAGATTATCCTAAAGGAAGCAAATACACCTGGGAAAAGATCCTGACTAGTGTTGTGGGTATATCATCTTCAAAGTTAGGCGGAAAAGATATTTTCCAAATACAAAATGGTAGCATCCAGATTCCCAAGGTAAATGGGAAATCTAACAAGCATATGCAGCATGTGAGTTTGAAGGCCGAAGGAGAGATGTTATCTCAAGGAAATGGTGTTTCTAAGATGATTCTTGCTAATATTCCTATGTACAAGGAAGTCTTGCCTGGTCTGGAGAGCTGGCAAGCTGGCAAGATTGCATCGTGGCATGATCTTGAAGGACACTTTATCCAGTGGTTGTGTCTAGTGTGCATAGATCGAAGAGGTGAATCCTTCTCTTATTTTCACCATTAGTTATTATTCACTATACAACTTGAGTTCTGGCATTATTGATCCTGCAACTTGTGTGAAGCAACTGATGTAGTCGCATGTTGCCAAGGGGTCAGCATTTACTAAATTTGTTATTCTTGTTTCCTTTTTGGGGGAGAAAAAAGGGGAAAATGATATCAAGGATGCAGTTTGGGACTCTGGACTCTTGGGAGTTTCTAGTATCCCTTTGGGTTGACCTTCTTTTATGATTAAATTGCACTTTTAAGATGGCTGAGATATATATGTTCTGTTGTCTATGCGAATGGTATTACAATTTGTAGTAAGCACAAGAATAACATGATACAATCAGAGACCTCTCCATTTGGTTAATCACTTGGACACAGATGTATTAATGTTACTAGTTTTAGTCAATTTTTTAATTGTATTTACATACTTTTCAGGCATTATGGCTGATATCACTGCCGCTTTGGCCACAGTAGGCATTACAATATGTGCTTGTGCGGTGAGTAGTTGAAAACATCAGTAGTCAAAGATTTGTTGATATCAATATTCACTTCAGAGGATCTTTTTCTGCATTGCATGTAACAAACTCTACTGTCTTAGCAGGCAGAGATGGACAGAGGGAGGGGAATAGCAGTGATGTTATTTCACATTGAAGGAAGCCTTGATTGTTTGGTATGTACACCAAGCAAACATTTCTGAAACCTTTGGGGCATTTTGGAATTTTTCTGAAAACTGTTTGCTGTTTATGAAAACAAAAACCGACTTTGGCAGGTTGCATTCTGGAAGTATTTGGGTTTATATTTAACGAGGAGACCCCTTTATGGAAATTTACAAAAAGTTGCTCGTAGAATTCTCAAATAACCTATATTTGCCTGAAAACAAATTCAATATGTAATAGATAGGGTTTTCAACATTTCAAGTATTTTCTGTTTTCAAAAAACTGAAAATTGATTAACAGAATAGAAATCCAAAGATATGATTGTCTCTGCTTTGGTTTTGATTGGAAAACCGTCTCTTTTTTCAGGTTGATGCTTGTTCACGGGTCGACTCAATAATTGGTGTTTTGGGATGGTCCACGGGTTGTAGCTGGCCTAGCTCCATCGAAAGCCAACAGTTTCTAGAGTGCTGATTGGTTGGTGCTAATTCTAACAACGGGGTGATTAACCCAGCGGGTGTGAAGTTTTGTCCTCTTAAATAGAAATGAGAAGAGGGGTGTTTTGGGGGGTGGGGGGGTTTGAATTCAATAATTGGGTAGATAGTTCGTGTTAGTTTGTGTACTTTCAGTTGTTGGACAGTTGGGGCGAAATTAAATACAGCTTTCGATTAGAGGAAAGTATCAGGGGATTGTATATAGAGAGAAGAGTGATAGCCCAAGCATACATGTAAAGATACTTGCAAGAAGACTGAAGCAATTATAAAATGAAGATATACATTACAAGTACGAGCTTCCTGGACTTCTTCCTAGACCATCATTTTTTTCTTCCCCTTCTCTAAATCCTTTGGTCTTTTTTCCTTTCTTCCTTTTTGAATTGAAGAAATATTTAAGCGACTGGAGATAACTAGTGTTCACTGTTTTTTTCTTTTTTGGAGAAATTACCAAGTTGGTTCTGGCAAAAATAATTAATAGAATAGAAAATAATTATCCGAAAATGTTTAAATAAAAATTATTGACACAGAAAGTTTTTTTCATTTCTCAAATGACGTGCACCCCTGTGAGCTTGAGTAATCATGTCCGCACGACCTCCCCTGCACGAGAAACCATTTTTACATATTCATATTTATAATTTTATATTTTTATATTTATAATACTTGTAATAATTTAAAAACATACTTGTAATTAGAATATGAAAAAAATTAAAAAATAATTTAAAAAATTAAATTATTTTTTGTGTTATTCTCTTTTATTTTAAATTTTCTGGTTATTAGTTACTGAAATAACCTTTCGAATAATAAAAGTTAAGACCAGCTTGGTAACTTTCTCTTTCTTCCTTTTCATTTTTTATTTTCTTTTTGGAGATGAGAGGAAGGGTAAGTTAAAGACATGATATATGGATATTTTGTTTAGGAACTTGGTTAAATGAGGAGGACGCTGATAATGCGAGGGCTGTTTTTATTAGAGCAACTCTCACCATCCTTCCACGCGAGGTTAGGTGAAAGGCACCACTAAAATCAGCTGTGAAAATATTAATTACCGTTAGCTAATTAGATAACAATAAAGATATTTTTTTTAAAAAAAAAAAAAAGAACAGCCTTTTTTATATGATTACATGCAGAAAATAATTGTGACCAACGTGTTTTATTTTTACTTCTTTCCTTCCAAGCCGTAGATTAAAATGAACTTGAAAATTTATTTTTGTCCCTTTCACTATTATTTTCCTACTAATACACGTACAAGCTCCGAACCAACTCTACCCTACATTTGAAACAGCGCTTGAAAAGGAAAAGGCCCAAGCATTGACTAGGTTCCTTGTCAAAGTAGGGAGAGTACTGCAACCATGGCAACTGTCAGACAGAGCTTCAGAAGATCAGCAGGAGAAAGAAACTGGAGCCACACCAGGAGCAGTAGCAGCAACAGAACCAATACCGACCATATCCAAAATCTCAAGTTCAACAAATCTGTCGATTTACTAATCCCCATCAAAATACATTCCACGTTCCTCTGCCTTGCAGCGATTGTCAATTTCCCGATACTTTCTTGGCTCTGGGGCCGCTCGCATTAATATTTCCGTTCCATACATCTGTTCCAAATGTTCCAAACTCATCCATCTTCTCTTCTGATTGCTGGCTATAGATTTTCAGTTCTTTCACTTCAATGGTTGATTCCTCCATTGACCCTGCTGGCCAGATTGCCTCGGTACCTGTTCCTTTTGAGGCTCTTCCCCTATATCCACAATTTCTTCCCCGTCCTTATCAACCTCAACGTTATTGTTGTGTTCTTCATTTAGTTCCACTTGCGGATCCGCTTCAACCGTCTCAACTGCTTCTTCACCTTTCTCTCGAGTATCTCCTCCTCCTCCATGTTTTTTCCCCTCATCAATAAACTGCGACTGTGGGTTATGTTCTGCTTCACTTTGGTACACGTCAGTTGCAGCGTTTTCCTGATCTTTTTTGATTTCGTTTACTTGCAAGTCCACCTCGTCAGCCAAATGATCTGTCCGAGCTATCTCAATCACTTCTTCGCCATCCTCTATATTATTTTCTCTTTCATTACGTTCTTCTTCATCATCTTCTTCATGTCGTCCATCGCCAATCAATTGGTTTTGTGGGGCTTCTTGTTCAGTTATTTGATCTGCATTATCTGTCTCAAAGTCAATTACCTTATCATCTGCTATGGCCTTGGTAACTTCCTCATCTAGCTGGTCCTCCGTGGAATCAACTTGGGTGGCTGCTATCTCCTCCGTCCCATCGCCACTGCAATTGAAAAATTAATGTTATAGTTACGGTTTCATCCCCGCACGTGAAGCAGGAAGAAATGATCTCAAACCTTGGATGGCGAACTCTTTCATAGTCTTGAGGAAGAAAATAGACGCCTCTTCCCTGATCATCGTTGTCGCTGCTTAACTCCAACTGGTTCGATACATCAGTTGCGGGCGGTGGTGGTGGGTGGAGGCGGTCATTTTTGGCGGGTGTTTTCCTAGATTTAGTTGCAGAAACGGAAACTAAGGCTGCAATTGCGGCTACTCCTCCCAACAGTACTACTCCGATGCCACCCCCCTTTCTGATTGCCGTTGTCTGCTTTTCTTGCTTTCGTGACTTCTCGAGCTTCTCCCTTTCCTCTTTTCTCCCTGGCAATGATCATAAACCTCCAAATTTCTTTAATAGGCTTCGACTGAGAAGATTGGAGTCAGCTCCACCCAATTAAATCTTCTAGTATTCTTGCAGCTTCAAGATTCCATAACAGTCATTTCAACTTTTGAGCCTTCTAAAGGTTGGGTGGATCTTCATGGAGCTCTGGGAGCATGTACGGTCATGGATTCCCTTCTTTGTCATCTTCTGCATATATGGTTGTATTTTACACGGATAGAAAATGTTAAGAGACTGGAAGTTGTCGATTAAATGTTTTCAACATCCAAATCAGATATAGAAAAATAAAATTTTAAAAATATTAAAAGAAAGATCATTTGTAATTTTAGTATTTTATACACAAAATAAATATATAAGCAAATTATTATATAACGGGATTTGTGAAAATGTTACACTAATATTTCTTTGCTTGAAAAGAGCCAATCAACAGTTCTAAAATTCAAAAGTTTTAGAATTGTAAAGAACTAATACACACAACTCTCTAAAATTTTGATATGAGATAAAAAGCAAGAGTCACGTACAGGATTTTTTTGATTTAAAAGGGTCAATCACAATTTCAAAACTCAAACGTTTCAAAATTATAAAAAACTAAATACACGCGCAAGGCAGAGCAGGAGCCTAAGTGGGAGTCACGCTCAAGGTTTCTTTGGTTTGAATGACCAGGCCAGGCCATATTGGGCCTTAAGCCCATGATAGCCAGTGGCCGTAGCCCTTCAAAGCTCACTGGATTTGGGCCACAAGGCCCATGTCAGAAGGTCCTACGTGGCAATTAAAAAGCAAAAAATAACTAGGTAGACTATAACTGCCCATAATATAACTGGGCAAATTTCCGTCCTCGTACTACAATTGGGTGGAGAACTGAGTTATTACCATACCAAACATTTGAAATTAGAAAAATAAGAGTGTTTTTGGGAAAAAAATTTAGAGCCTGACAGATCTCACATGGATCATTGACTAATGGCCAATTGTTAGCAAGCAAATTAGTCCCAACCAAAGGTTCCATCCAGCCCAGAGTGTTAGAAATTAAGTTAGCGGGTCCTCTCCTCAGTTAGGGTAGGTTATGCTAAATACAAATCAAACAGTCAAAGTGGATAATAGGGTGGCCGGTTGTGAGTGGGCTTATAAGGGATCACCAGAGCGATTAGAGATGATATTTTATCAGAAAATATTAGTAAGGTGTTTGCTATTAAAGTTGAAGTTTGGCGCACCAAGGGTTTAAATTTGATCTAAAATTTATGTTTTAAAAGAGTTATTCTCAAGATAAATTTCAAAATATTGATAGATACAATTTAATCTGAAATTTATGCTTTAAAAGAGTTATTCTCAATATAGATTTCAAAATATTGATAGATACAATTGAGAGTAAATAGGCAAGTAATTTTACTTACATATCTTTTTTAGTTATAATCAAATCTCTTTTGAGATAATTTAATCAAGTATAAATCAAATAGGATCTTATATAAGATAGTGTTTGTAGACTATTTGGCTAAATTAAATTTATCTCGTAAGTCTAGTTTGAAGGATCAAGCATTCTCTTCTCCTTCCTCGATTAATCAGAAAATCTTTTTTACCTTGATATGCTGCAAATCTTTACTCTAAGTAATTTTGAAACTCAGAAGATCTTTTTTACCTTGATATGCTGCAAATCCTTACTCTAACTAGTTTTGCAGCTTAGAGTTTTTCTTTTGGATTTGGCTTCTAAGTTTTAAAATTTTTTTTTTTCTTTTTTCTTATGTTAATTAGCGTCAATGCAACATTATGGGCGGGTTTGGAATATGGTTATCAAGGGCATGTAGTAAGTTGCATGATTAAAATACTGCAGGAACTGCGCTGGAAAGCACACTTGAGTGCGAAATTTCAACGGTTCTGATCACGCCGGCTAGCTAAGCCCAATCAAATTCTCGCTCTTCCCACAGCACAGACACGTTCGAGTCTTGCAGTATCGGGTCAAGTAACGTGGATTTTTGCCCATTAGTTTGAAATACAACGTGCCATTGGGGCTTTCTTGAGAATGTAGAGAACAGTCTAACTAATTAATAACAATTATTAATTATGATATTATAAACTAAGTTATTAGTAGCCAAAGTAAAGACTAAGAGATTTTGTTCATACCTACTCACTTGCACTGACCCACTTTTGTCGGAACATTTTTTCAGAAAAATAAAAATAAAATTTCCCAATATTTGTCGGTGGAGGCACACTTGAATATTTTACAAGAAATTTATAAAATTTCTTATATAATTTTCTTTTTCCTGTTGTTTAAATTATTTAAAAATTAGAAATAGAATGTAATATCAAATATTTAGCATCTTGGTAATTTATTTTTTCTTTTTACTTTTTGAAATATTGTTTTTGCATTATAAAGAAATAATTATCAAATTTATACAATTACTCCTCTCCCTCCCTTTAGCAACCTTAAACTGTTAAATTTCATGTGATACAGAAAAAGAAAAAAGCTTATAATTTCAAAAAGATTTTGGCTAAATTAATTAGGCAGTAAAACTCTTTAAAGAAAATATTTAACTAATTGAGAAATTAGTACATTTGTTTCTTTAAAATGACTAAAGTGACAGAGGGGGGTTTAATTTCAAACTGATTCACAAAAGCATCCTAAAAAGAAAAACGGTGGTACCTCACATTTAGGCCTCATTTAATTTGAGTCTTAATCCATTTCATTTAAACTCTTGAAACAAATAACCAAACTCATTTTTATTTAAATCTAGTTTCTTTAAATTCATTTCTTATACCCACTTAAATATAAAATTAAATAACTAAACACACTCCATTTAAATTTATTTTTTTAAAACTTAATTTATTTAACTTAATTTTTTTTAAATGTACTTAAATCTGCAATCATAGGTTTTTTTTTTTTTGAAATTGTGAAAGCATTACTGTGGAAAGAGACCTTGATTTACAAGATTTTGAGACTTAGAAGGGTTTTTTCTCAACTATAATCGTGAGAGGTGGATATTTAAATTAGCCCACCCTGAGAAAAAAAAATCCCATAAAATAAATTAAAATACGAATTAATATGGAAAATGAGGTGTCCATATTGAATTGGCCTTCCTATTTGACCACATCCGCATAAATGCTACGCTTTAAACCACTGTCTTTTCTATTTGCTTTTCTAAGTTTGCTTGCTGACCTAAAAATTAAATAAAGCGCTTGTCTTGGCCAGGTCCATTCAAACCTTTGAGATTTAGGGCTGCCCTTGCCTAGGCTCCTAGCTGTACTTGCAAGGCAACTTGCAGCTGCAGGTCTTGTCATTGAATTTATACAGTTTGAAATAAAAGCAACTTGGTTTGGCCGAAGAAAACTTTTCCACGGCCATGCTTTGAGACAGTAGTCAGGCATTTAGTGCATTCGACCGGGGGGCTCTGCCTCGCTGCTTTCACCCTTTGAGGCTCGGGTTGCGCAGGAGAAAAAGCAGGGTTCAAAACCGAACAAAATCGACAGTACCGAACCAAATCGATTATAATTAGTTTAATTCAATTATAAAATTTTATAAATAAATTAGTTTAATTCAGTTTAATTTTAATTTTATTTTAAAATAAAATTAAACTAAATTAAATTGATTTTACTTATTAATATATATTATATAGATATTATATATATTTATATTTATATTTTTATTATATATATTTATATTATTTTTTTTATAAATTAAAAAAAATAAAAAATCGATCATGTCAACTGAATCAAACCGACTTGAATTGGTTTGGTTCGGTTCGATTTTTTGAAAAAAAAATCGATCATGTCTTGTGAAACATAAAACTGACATGTTCGATTCAGTTTGGTTTAAGTCTGAAATCAAATCGAACCGAATATGTGGACACCCCTGAGAAAAAGGGTCAGGATTGTCCACTTCAAATTTGAAAGTTATAAGAATATAATTATTTTTAATTAATTTTAATATATTTTTTTAGAAACTAATATTTAGTTTAAAAGATAAAAATTATAAAATATCATATAAAGAATAATTAAATAAATCAAATATGATAAAATAAAATAATTTTTAATATAGTATATTGATTGTATAATGTTTTAAATTATTATATATTATTTATTATATTTAAAATTAAATTTAAATAAAATATGATATAAATATAAAAATAATTAAAATAGTTATTTTATTATCAACAACAAACAACGTTGATTGGTAAAAAACGGTTGTCACCAGCAAGTATGTATGGAAGTAATAAAGATAATATTGTTTAAAAAATTAAATTAAATAATTTATTTTTAATATAATTAAATAATTATCTAATCTTTACCTTATTTGAATAATTTATATAAATTTTTTTTATCTAATTTATTAAATATTATCCGTCTTTTTTATCAGCTTATCCAAAGTAGCAAAATATGTTAAATTTTATTTAATATAATTTTTTAATTATATCATAATTTATTGCATGGGGCGCAACCGCCGCGAAGGTTCAACCACGCTGCTGTCATCCACATTCCAAAACCCACGCGCCCACTTGCAGGGTCTACAAAAGCCCCGTCACCTCTCTCCCTTCAACTCATTCTCTCTACCAACTTCCCTTTCCGGGTCACTCTTACCATTTTCTCTGCTGTATTTCATATCTCTCTCTCTGTTAGATCTTTTTGAAGGAGGAAAAAAATGTGTGGTGGTGCAATCCTCTACAATCTCATCCCTCGCAACGGCAATCGCCCCGTCTCCGCCGCCGACCTCTGGCCCAACTCCCCCTTTGCCGCAGAGTGCAACGCACACCTCACTACTAAGCGCGCACAACCCTGTACCGGTAATCCCATAACTCTGTCGCTCATAGCATTTGAAACGCTTTTAGGCATCTCTTTTTTCTCATCGGGCACTTTCGTCGAATAAGTGATAAGCGCCTCTTATATCGCTCGCTGTTTACTTAGAACTCAGTCGTGATTGCTTAGTTTTGCCATATTTTTCCAATTGTGGACTTTGTCTTAGATGTGCCACTCGTCACTTGGAACTCACTCGTACTTACACTTTGCACTGTTTTGACAATTTTTTCTCATCGGGGCCTTTCGTCGAACAGGTGACGAGTGCGTTGAAAAGAAGGTGAAAAGGCAAAGGAAGAACCTGTACAGGGGAATCAGGCAGCGTCCATGGGGGAAATGGGCGGCTGAGATCCGCGATCCCAGAAAAGGCGTTAGGGTTTGGCTTGGTACCTTCAACACGGCGGAAGAAGCAGCTAGAGCCTACGACAGGGAAGCTCGTCAGATCAGAGGAAAGAAAGCTAAGGTCAACTTTCCGAACGAGGACGACGATTACTCCAACCCTCAAGCCCACCATCAGTCCTCATCCTTGCGCAATCCCAACCCTAATCCATATGTAAACTACAATGGGTTTGGCGATAATCTGAATCTGACGAATACATACAATCCCAATCCCAATCCCGATCCCGATTTCTATAGCGTCCCATGTGTCCTTCAGAGCGAAGACGCTTCTGGTTCTGGTTCTGAGAGTGCCTACTCTTCGATGGGTTGTAATAAGAATGCAAATAATGCTTGCTTTGAGGAGGTGAATGTGAAGGAAGACGAAGAGAAGCCAAAGTTGACGACAGTAGCAGGGGAGGAAGCGGACGACGTGCAAAAGCTTTCGGATGAATTACTGGCCTACGAGTCCTACATGAAATTCTACCAGATTCCGTACCTCGATGGCCAATCGGCTCCAGCGGCACAGGATAGCGTCGCCGCCGGTAGCGCCATGGAGCTCTGGAGCTTCGACGATGTTACTCCCGCGAGGGCCTGAAAAATGCCCCCCCCCCCCCCCCCCCTCTCTTTTTTTCCCTTTCTGATGCACATTTTCTTTACCTTCCAATGTTTTCATCCGGGGTGTTTTGTGAATTTGGATAACTCGGTGAAGTGATTTTGTGGCTAGTTGGAGATTAGGAGGTGGTGTTGCTTTAAGAGGTTTTTGGTTGTAAAATACCGTGAAAAATGAACTTGTAATTCCATTTCTGATTTCTTTAAATTCATATTATGTAAATATTTTTATCTATTTCCCAAGTTCTATATTTTGGGCGTATAATCATGCAATAATCTCCTTTTATTTGAAATTTGATGCATGAAGACCGTCGTTGTTGTTTCATTATCCCTTTTACTAGACAGATATTCTAATGTCATAGAAAAAATTGTAAATTTTGAGAAAATAAAGTCCTTATTCGATGAAATAGGCAAAGGTGCACCTGCTAACACAGGTTAGGATAGCTTTGGATCCTGTGAGAAGAATTCAAAAAGCCACTTGACTCGGAAAAAGCCCTTAATTCTTCCTTTTCATTAGAGAGAGAGAGAGAGAGAGAGAGAGAGAGATTCGCGGTGGAGGTTGAGGCGGTGGCGTGGCGCGCATGGTGAAATGAGACACTAGAAAGTGGCGAAAAAATTAAAAACAAAAAGTAAAAGCCAACGTGTTAAGTCAAGTTGTGATGTGAGTAGGTACTAGGCAAGAGCCTCGGAGGCAAAATATTTGAAAATAAAAAGGAGGAAAATTCCAGCGGCGGCTGTTTGTATTCCCATTTTTACCTCGGCGCCCACCGCCTGGGCTTCTTTGGAACTTGCACCCATGCATGCATCTATTTCGTCTTTCATACTTTTGGTCCTCACCTTTAGCTAAATTATACAATTCCCCGCTTGTATATTTGTGGATTTCAATTAAAGCCCTGTCTCCCAATTCTTAATTAATCGAGACATTAAAAGAACAATATTGTATCTCATCCCCATCTATCCTATAAGATAATCGCTCTCCACACTTTCGTGTTACGTGGCGCTTAGGTAATGCCACTAATTTGGTGATCCAATTGCTCAAATTGAGAGTTAGGGAATTTAATTGACGTTAAAATGATATTTGAGGGCTTAGTGGTGTAATATACTGGCTTCCCTTTTTCTTTTCCCTTTTGGAGGGGCAGTCGAGCTTCTTCCTTTTAATTTTTCAAATAAATTTCCCAACCGGACATGTCTGGGCCTGGGTGCATGAAATCAGGGGATATCAGAACCTACCTTGGCGTGGGATCCAGCCCCCTTGAGGCCCAACACTTGCAGGTCCGGCTACAATTACGGCCCCATTGAGTTATAGAAACATGATGCATTGAAAAGTGCTTTTTAAAACTTTTTTAATATTTTGCTTTCATAAACTTTATCCTCTGGAATTTAAGTAAAAATAAAATGAACTTTTTGGGACAGCAGGGCTGCCTTAGGATATCCCTAATGGGCCACAGGCCCGACAAAGGACCTTGGGCGCCAGCTGGGCCGTCGTGACCGCTGCGCCGAGCTCCGCTCTGGGCGAGCGAGCCAGCTACCCCCCCTTTCGGCCGCACGATTCGCTGGGCCACGCAGTAAATTGGGCCTTCGCCCCACTGTGTGGCGGGTCAGGCATGGCCCGCTCCCGGTCCACCTTAGGACTACCAATTTGATCAAAAAATATAAGTTATTCAATACTTCTCAGGCCCTATTTTTGCTGGCCGGAACCCAAGTTGCACCCAATCGAGGGAGCCCAGTAACGATACCCAGACTAGCAGGTCGTCGTCGAAACCCTAGGGCAGTCATATGTTGATGTGATATAAAAGCTTATCTTCATCGCGTTACTTTTTCTTCTCTCATTCGCAGCTCCCTGAAGAGAGGCGTGCTTGTGTGTCTCGGAGGTGAGAGAGATGGTGTCGCTGAAGCTTCAGAAGCGGCTCGCCGCCAGCGTTCTCAAGTGCGGCAAGGGCAAGGTTTGGCTTGATCCTAATGAAGTCAATGAAATCTCCATGGCTAACTCTCGTAAGCTCTCGTACTCTGTGTGTTCTACATATTATCTCTACTTTCCTTGCTTCGGTTTCTAAAGATCAGTTAATTTCTATGGTCGACTAGATTTTATTTACTATATCAACTAACATAGGTATATGCTGCTTCGTTTCTACCAGATAAATTACTTTTTCATCCGCTTTTGTGTTTGCTGTTAAGAACATTATTATTATTTCTTTTTGTGTGAACGTGGTCTTTCTTCGTTCCGATTTACTCGGCTGAATCAACCTTCTCGTGTAGCATGTATTTCTACATGTATTTCTACATGCGGACACGTATATGTTTATATTAAGCAGCAAATTCAAGTGTTTGGAATGGTGCAGTATATCTATTACCTGCTTCAATCGTTTCAGTTCTAGCTGAACAGAGAAATAGAAATGGACCTTTCAGATATTTGCAGATGTGACTATCTTGTTAACACTCCAAAGTATGTAGTGGTGCAATAAAGCATGTATATTTTTGGTTTTTTTCCTAATTTTAGAATTATTGATTTCGTTCTGATAATATGTTTCTCGGAGGTTTCAAAAAATTCACTGGAATGGAAATTCCCTCTCGGTTATGGCTGTTCTGATTTTGAACCACTTTCGCATGTCATCCTTTAATTTTGTGTTTTGTATCCAGGAACGCGTGTACCTATATCCCGAATTTTCAACTCTTTTTCCTATGGTTAATGTTTACAAATCAAAGCTGACCTGTGGTTATGGATAACAAGAATAAAACTTTTGTTAATCTATACAGCTTATATGTATCAGTGATTGCACATGATGAAGGTGAAGGGGTTTTTTAACTCCCCTTTCTAGCTTTGATGTCTTCTAACGATACTTTCGTTACTTGGCATTTCTTTAATGGTAATCCATTTGATTGGTTGAATACAGGGCAAAACATAAGGAAGCTGGTCAAGGATGGATTCATCATCAGGAAACCAACCAAGATTCACTCACGGTCTCGTGCCCGCAGAATGAAGGAGGCCAAGAGAAAAGGCCGACATTCTGGATATGGTAAGTTTTTCTAATTTTGGAAATGTATCTAGAACAGAAAATTTGCTGCATGTGTCTGCAATGAGGAAGTTCGAAGAATAATTAGGATTGTGCATGTAAACTGAACTCGTAGTTATGAGTAGATATCATGGTTGATACATTAGTAATTTGCAGTTCTAATATGGATAAATAGGCAGTGCTGTGAACTTGTGCATTTTCTCTAGTTAAGCTCGAGCATAAGAGAAATTTGGCTGGGTTTTCATGATCTGTTTGCTTCTTGATTGTGTCAGGTAAGCGCAAGGGTACTAGAGAGGCAAGGTTGCCCACAAAAATACTGTGGATGAGGAGGATGAGAGTGCTTAGGCGCTTGCTCCGCAAGTACAGGGAATCTAAGAAAATTGACAAGCACATGTATCATGACATGTACATGAAGGTGAAGGGTAATGTTTTTAAGAACAAGAGGGTGCTAATGGAGAGCATCCACAAGTCAAAGGCTGAGAAAGCTAGAGAGAAGACCTTGTCTGACCAATTTGAGGCTAAGCGTGCGAAGAACAAGGCTAGCAGAGAGAGGAAGATTGCTAGGAGAGAGGAAAGGTTAGCACAGGTGAGATGCAAATTTGATTTATTTTCAACCACCTCCTCTCTTATCCATGTATTATAGCCAAGAAATTTAGATGCTTGTATAAGCCAGATGGAATTATAATATGCATATTTCTGCAGGGACCAGTTGAGAGAGCACCGCAACCTGCAGCTGCACCTGCTGCCCAACCAGCTCAGTAAGTTCTGCTGAAAGATTGAAATATATGGTAGGATGGTGAGATTGGTTTGTTTTGAAATTTGACTGGTATTCTCTTTTCTTTGCAGGACAACAAAGAAATCAAAGAAGTGAAATCAATAAAATGGGAGGAATGATTAGTTCTTACCGTTTCTGTGATGTTACTGCCGCAATATATTTCTTTTTGACCCATTATGTTTTTGTTTTCTGTTCTTTTGCTTATTTTGTGGGACATTGTGCTCTATATCTAGGATGTACGCGCATAATTTTATATTTAGCTGAGCATGTAGTTTGTCTCTCGTAATGTTTGGTTAATTTCCTTTATTTTTTCATTTCAAGTATTATGCTTGGTAAAACAAAGATGACAGGGAAGGTGATTTTGATTTGCCTTTCTGACTGCTGGACGAAAATACATTGGAGTGGCCCATGGTAGGGATTGTTTCCGTTCCTGAAAATTTTTTTTTCCAATTATTTTTGGATAAACAAGGAAACGGAAAAATTGTATCCTTAAAGATTTTATTAAAGTAACTTTTAAGAGAACGATTACTGTATCGTAAAAGTGACCCTTGGATTTTTTTAAAAGCTATATAAAATTAGAAGACTCTTGATTTGGTGTAATGTCGTGAAGTTTATTCTAATGTATCTTATAAAGAGGTCCTTAAGCTTGAGCAGCTTCTGAAACAATCTGGAGGATGATAATCGTCATGCTAGATGAGTAACTGTAAAATATGGATTCTAGAACTTTCATAATCTCTTCTAGATTTTAAAACCTGGCTTTCAGAACTCTACAGTTTATGTAAAGTACAATGTTTGAATTATTCAAAAAAATGCTAAATAATCAAGCCCAAATCAGTGATGTGGCCCCGGCATCGCCAATTTTCTCCATTTCTTAGGATTTAGACCGGTGTTGAGTTTATCAATCCTTGATAGACTCGAAATAATAATATAACATTTATGAAGTATGGAAACCATTCCAAGTTGCTACAAGCAATAGTTTGCTCTTGGTGGCAAAACTGCTCTGTAGCCCACTTAAGAGCCACTTGATCAGTTCACTAATCCCTGGTGGGTGCTCATTTTCTATATAGCTATCACACGTCCACTGAATTTTACCTCACCAAAACCTTAACATCCCGCCACCACGAAAACCAGCAACCATCCCCCACGTCCACCTTGCAAACAGACTCCACTGGGTCACTGCTGTTTATCCAAAGAATGCTGATTTCTGCTAGGGAAGGATCAAGTTCAAGATTCTAGAAATTAGCACGCCCGGAAGCTGACAACACAATTTTCGTCTCATTACCCGTCTGCCCGTGATTATTGACTGAGATTGGAGCAGCAATTAAGCATAGTTATCAGGAAAGCCTTTCTTTCTTTTTTCCACAAGGTCAACCACCACACACACCTTCCCTCCCCTCCCCCCCCCCCCCCCCCCACCCCCAAGGAAAACTCGTCAATTTGCTAGCAATAAGACAGAGAAAGTTCTTGGCAAACAAGGGGCTATAGCACAGACCAGAATACACAAACAGTTACAAAATAAAAGACTAGCTATTTAAAGCTTCCAGTGTAATTTTTTTCAAAATATTATAGAACAGAAGGCTATGAAATGACACAGCTACGAGGTTGCATTTGGACCCCAGCTTACTATTCGGCAAGCAATATTGCCTTCAATTTTGGCCTAAATGCCACTAACCAACTGCTGTAGTGGCTCCTTGGCTTTTGATGCAAACTGCTTCAAGATTCATCTAAAGGCTCCTTTGGTACCGGGGGGCATCTTTGGGAAAAGGCTTATTATGCCCTACAAGACCAGCACTCCCTTTAGTTGTTCTACCTGAAGGTTCAACTGGCTGCTGGATTGTTGATTCTGCCGAGATATTGCAGATTCCAAGTTTAGCAATGAAGGTAACTCTGGTACCCTTGTCCACGCCCTCACTATGAATCCAAATATGACCTCCCATGAGACTTAAAAACCTGATTCCATCAGTTCAAATAAGCATAACTTGAACAAAAGTAAATGAACAAACCAAAAAACTAACTGGCCAACCAACTAAACCTCTTTTTCCTTCCCATCTTTTCTTTTGTTATTATTAGGAGGCTTGACAGTGTGCAGTAACAGAAGAAACAACTACATACCCAGCATTACATTGAGACGTCAGAGTGGCTATAAATAAGTGAAGACTGATTATGAGCAATACCTTCTACAAATGGCAAGTCCAAGACCAGCTCCAGTGTTATTTCGATTTGATCCACTTCGAGATTGAGCAAATTTGGTAAAAATATGTGGCATCTCTTGGGATGTAATACCACAGCCAGAGTCCCTAACCTGCAAAATATGGTGTATCTTATTTATATATTTATATTTTGTGTTTTTACCATTTTTTTTTTTTTTGAGGGGGGAGAGAGGGGTGGGGATGTCCTGGACAAACTGCTTGAGTTTGTCATCTGAAGTGGGGCATTTTGATCCAAGAGCAAAAGGAAAGTGGAAAACTGAACCTCCACTTTTAAGAAGAAATGTCCATCACTTGACAAGGGATGAAATTCAGGAGATCGCCAGTCTCTCAGTGACTCCGGTTTTGCAATAGAGGCCACGACTGTAATATATCCATCCTTTGTGAACTTTATAGCATTGCCCACAATATTTAAGATGGTTTGTGTAAGCCGTTTCTCATCACCAATAGCAAAGACAGGCAAATCAGGTGTTAAAATCAGTGTCAAGGATAACTTCTTCACAGAAGCAATAGGCTTTATCCAATTCATGACCTGTAATAGAAAATACAAACATGTGAGTTACCCACGTGTTCGGATTATCTCAACTGATTTCAATTAAAATTTGATATACATGCAGAATACCTCTCTGAAAACCTCATGAAGACTAAATACCCTGGTATCTAATACTAGGCTACCATCTTCTAGCCTAGAAAGATCAAGTACATCGTTAATCAGTGTTGCTAGCACATTACTACTCTTGAGTACCGTCTCTATCATCACTCTTTGTTCAGGGGTTAATTCACTTTCTAACAGAAGTGAAGACAATGAAATAATTGCATGCATAGGTGTTCTCATTTCATGGTTCATCACAGCCAGAAAATCATTGCGAGCACGGATAGCCATCTCTGCCTCTTGCCGAGCTAAATCTAGAGCCACATTCTGCTCCATGAGCTGATCACGTGCTCTCATAGACTCTTCTAGGATTGCAGCATGAGAAAGAGCAACAGCTACCTGTAAAAGCACATCAGATCTGGCATGGTAAAACAAGGAGGTGAACTGCTATGGTAACATAGTATGTTTATGCATACCACAAGCACGAGATTTTTGTTCCATAGTAACAGAAGGCAAAGCCAAGTGCATCCTTACGAAAGACGTACAGTAGTTCAATTGCCATCAAAATACAAGAGCAATGAAAACAAAGACTGTCCAGATTAACATATCAGTAAATTTTAGATAGTAATTAACCCACGTTTAACTTCCTCAAACTACTTAATAATGTTTTTTGCTTTGTCATGTGGACAATACTAATACCATGTCCCGCAAACATTATGCTCCTTGTTGCAACCAATAAGATAAAGCAATTTGTAGAGGGTATTGGGATAAAAAGTGGAAAACTTTTTTTCTAAGAGACTAGATAGCTTCTTCAGTAGTTGGCTGTTTAACTCAACTCCTTCTGGTCATAATTAGCTATAGCCTAGCCCTCTGTTTCATTACTGAAACATTAAATTGTTAGTGCTCTATCATAATTCCATGGTATGGTAAATCATGTTCGAATTTTCTCAAGAATTTTTATCCAAAAAAATATGAGAATTTATGTAAATGCATTATGAATATAACATAGTATATGGAGTATCAAGAAATATAGTCACTGAAACTCAAATTTCTAAAAGCCAAGCCCAATAGCTATGAGCTTCTGCGAGGGGCACAAATGCATAGAAGGATCTTCTAAAACAAACCAAAGGATGTTGCATTTCATAATTATATTGTCTATATCAGCACAAGATTGAGGGAAGACTAAATCTGAATTGCACTTTGGCTCAATATCATATAGAAAAACTAAAAACTAGTAGAGCCATGATGATGTGAAGCAATAAAAGGGATAAACTCACTGCTGCATACAAAAGACCACAATCAACATAATGAATTCCAACAATCATTTATATTTCAAAATCAGTAGCAAACTTAGGCAATTAAAACAACTGTAATAAATTCAATAACAGCAATTAAAAAAGCATGAACAGGACAACATCACAAGTATATCACAAAAATAAATGAAGAAGATAAAGTCATCAAAAACCTGATCAGCAACAACTTCCACAAGTTCCAACTCATGGTCGCGCCATTTTCTTATACCATCCATCGGAAGAATCAAAACCATGACCGCATAGCTTTTTGTGGAGAGATCAGGCCAATCATTTATGTGGAAATTTGAAAGATGCAAAAGAGGAACCCGAACAGCAACAACTTCTGGTGGCACATATCGTCCTGCAGGGGGTCGGATCCTTGCCAACGGGCATGTGCACGGGATACGTATTGCTTCCGCACTATTGAAGACATCATTTACTATGGGAATATTGATTGGCACAGTGGAACCAACCGGTATTAGATTTTTTAGAGTGTGAGACAGTTGGAGATTCAAGCCTCCCTGAGATGGCATCCACAGAGCACATTCCTCCAGGTCTAAAGTCCTACCCAACTCAACTAGAGTAGTTTTCAGTATGGTGTGTCTGTCAAGTGTGCTTCTAATTTCATGAGTAAGCATTCGGACATGCCTTCCAGTTTCTTCTTGAGACATGATAAGGCCCATCTCCCTGTCAAGTTCTTCAGCCTTATTTTTTAAAAATAGTTCCCGTGTTTTTACACTTAGCAGATCAGGAATGATATGCACGAGCATCAAAGCTGTTACGCATGAGACTACAGCAGTTGCAATTTTTGCGATGGTCATTACAACAGCAACCGTTTTAGAGTGCATCGTAAATGTCCACAAATTTATGAAGTGAGTTGCTCCACATAGAACGATAAAAGCACCAAACTGCATTAGTACCCATCTATATGGGAAGAATGCTGACTTTTGAACAAAATAAATGAGCTCCAAGGGAATAGAGAAGTATGCAAAGGCAATAAAGAAGTCTGATATATACTGATATTTCACAAGTAGCTCATCAGCAGGCCATTGAGTCTCAATGCAGTCACACTCCATTTTCCAGCAGAACTAACAGAAATCTGAGAAACATAAAAGTTGCACAACTTGTTAAGTAATTAATTGGTTAAAGAGATGACTTCCAACTCAATAGAAGTTGCTTATCTCAAAAATAGTGGAAATCGGATGAACTTGATTGTATCATATATATATATATATATATATATATAGAGAGAGAGAGAGAGAGAGAGTTATGCTGGCTTCAAAAACTATAAAATAAAGTTGCTAAAAATTGCACAGCATTTTGTAAATTGTCAATACCTTGAAGCCATCATGTAATATATGTTTCCTACCTTACAATGAAACTAAGTCCAAGAGAAGAGTAAGTTGTGCTGGTTAGCTTATTTGAAGTTGACTAACGAGAAGAATATGGTGAGAGGCAATGCCTTCCCATTCATCAAAATTTTATAAATGGATAAGCCTTAAATCAAGCACTAGAAAAGACTAGGTAACAAAAACATTGAAGAACAAATACCATTTAAAGAGACAAATTCACAAAGCACCAAAGGCAAATATTCCAATCACTATTAAAGCATAAGGAATCCTCTTTAACAAATACTAAAATAAGAAACTAGTCAAAGCAACAAAATATCCGGTTGAAATAATCAATTTTCCAATTTTTGTCCAACTCACAAATTTGTAAATTTCTTCCAACTTTCCAATATCCAAATTTTTGTCCAACTCACAAATTTGGCTCCCTTAATCTAATTAAGAATATAAATACAATTCGAGACTGACTTATTGACCAAATTCAAATAAATAACTTATTGCTTCACGACAATCACAAGTCATGGAAAACTTCTCCAACATCTGTGAACATCATTTGACTGCAATAGCCAAATGGGGAGAGATAGAGGAAAGAATCCAAACCTTTCATACGTAAGCCTTCTCAACAAGACTGAAGCATTGAGATTGCTGCCTTTAAACTTGCAATAGCTTGAAACGTATTCCATGCTCTTGCCAGGCACACACTCATGATTAGGTGGGCCCCCAGATTATCAGGCTCAAGGATAGGAAATTGGTGTATATGAACAAGAAAGTGGAGGACATGTGGCATACAATTTAGTGTTTCAGGAGCGGCACAAGAAGTGAAGAAAGGGAAAGTTCTGCCAAATGTTGGCATGGTGTGAAACAGACAATAAGCTAATTGATGATAACATTCATTACAGAAAAGATGCATAACATGGTAAATTTCAGATACAAGAGTTGAGATATGCTAGTATTCGCAAACTCAGCAACTGGTAGCATTCACTGTGTTCTGTGTTTCTTCTGTAGACATGTTAGCATATTTCCATAAAGCATATTCTTTCCCTCCTTGCCAAATTTACTTCATTTTATACTACATATATTTTCTATTTCTGTAGAACAAATTTTTAATTAAATATACCTTGTCACAATGCTACAACATAAAAATATAAAATGGTTGTCTAAGAGATTAGTTATGTTATATTCGAATCCTGGAACCTTATAGGGAAGGGAAAAAACAAAAATATTACAGCAAAAAAAAAAAATGAAGTAGAATTTAAAATATATCCATATTTTTAGGTTGCTTAGGATTATGAGATGATAATAAATGTAGTCCTATTGAAAAGTTATTTTTTTTATTTGATTAGGTGTATGAAAATTAGAACAGTAAAAAAATTTTGGTTTTCCTTTCAGTAAAAAGTTGTTGGTGCATTTAACTTCCCCTCCCCCCCCCCCCAAAAAAAAAATAATAATAAATATAAAATAAAATAAAATAATCTAGTTCCGCCACTGGCCAAATATGATGGAATGTGAAGAACAAGTTCGTGAATATCTCTGACAGCCAAAGTACTAGCGGATATTGTTTTACTTGCAATTGATTCCTTTAGCTCATTTGCACCAAGGAATTAAAAGGTTCCCTTCCTTGAGGCGTCACCAATCCTCCTGTCTAAACCTAGTTATTGAGAATATCGGGATTGTTAACACCATAAAAGTGAGTAAAGTCGATAGCAAGTTAGTTGAAGCCAATAAACAAAACAAGCCAGTCGTATGATTTCCATAAATGGCTAAGAACAAACATCAATTAAAGAACTAACTATCACCAAGATGCACAGTTCGGGGGCCGAGAAATTGCAAGCAAAAGAATGGAAGATTCAAACTCCCACAACGACGTCAATTTATATTTATTTTCAACGCTTTTCTCTCCACTCCAGAGATTTTACACAGAACGAAAGCAAGAGATGCCACTTATAAGATCAGATTTCTTCTTCGTCCGTTTTCATACAGTTTCTCAGCAACCAGAAGGAAAATAATGAGAAGAAGAACAAAGAGATACAAATCAAAAGTTAAGAGAACGGAAGAAGATTGTTACCTCTTGAGAGAGACGATCAAGGCCGGTGGAGCGAACGCCGCCTCTTCTGCATTCTTCAACTCGCCGCGAGACCTGAGAGCGTTTTGACTGTCCCAAAGGCTAAAGCGGTCGTTCACACGCGGACGCAGATAGAGAGAGAGAGAGAGGAAAGGAGAAAGGGGAGGAGGGAAGGCAAAGACGCAGCCTTGCAAGTGACAAATCACGGGGCAAATTAAACTTAGACCCCTGCACTTTCATTTTAATGGAAATGTTCTCACAACTTTTAATTGAAACTTTTTGAACCCTAAACTTTCAATCCACGTACTATGCCAACCTTTTATATGTTCTTTCATAATTAATCTGACGGCTCCGACTCATTTTATGTTCAGGTGATTTGTGATTGAGTGAAAACTCAAAATTAAGATAAATTTATGTGACAAAACTATATTCAGATAAAAGTAGAGTATGTGTCTAATTCACACTTTATAATACGAATCACATGAGTTATATAAAAGAAAAACCAGTAGGTTATTGAAAAAAGTAGTATTTAGAAGGTAGAAATTACTAATTTATTGAGTATAGATCTTAAATTGCCACAATTTGAAGTTTGCGGATAAAAGTGACGGCAAAATGAAAGTGTAGGAGTGTAAATGTAATTTATGTCAAAACATGCAAAAGGGTCCCCATCGGGATCTAATTCAATTGCGTTGACACGTGCATACCGTTCCCGTCAAATATTGGGAAGATACATGCACCGAGTCTGATGGGACCCACACCCAATTGGGTATGGGGTCTGGCCATCCGTCTTCGCGTGGGCCAGGCCATCTTACCTAAATATGTCCGGAAAAACCAATATAAATTAACCCCGCCCCTTTTTAGTAATATGCCGAAATTACCCTATGATTTTTTAGTTTTAGATTGAAATTATAATGAATTGGAGATTATTGTTGTTAAAAATTTATATGAAAAACTAAAATAAATTCTAGATTACAGATATAAAATTTTAAATATATTTTTATAATAAAAAATTAAAATTCAAAAATTTCGATGAAATGTGATTAGGGAAGGGGATAATCTCCTTTTAAAAAAATATATAAAACTAAAGTCGGTTGGCTTTAATATTTATCCAAAGTATATAGGACAAAACTGTAAAATTGGAAGTTAAAGACAGCAGCACAGTCGGATACGGAATATTTATCCCAAGGAAAAACGTCACAGATGCCGATGCCATGTCGCATGGGAACTTACCATAGCAATTCTGTCAGCCCATATTTTCTTAGACTAAATAGAAGACATTTTCCAATTGCTAAAGTTGTTTCTTAATCATAAAATTCTCGATAATCAGTTGCCCACGTGTTGCATATGAAGATTTGAAATTAAGCGTTTTTTTTTGGGTTGGAATTTGAATGAATTTAACAATGACCAGACTCTTAATTAGCATGAGTAATTCAGGTTGCTTATAAATAAATAAAACTATTACTTAAAATTTGAAATATTATAAAAATTTTAAAAATATATGCAGCCCATTGTGGATGGGTTTGTTGAAGGTTTTTTACAAAAAAGTATTTTTTTATTAAAAATATTTAAAGTGTTCGGATAATTTTTTTAAAAAAGTGTTGTTTAAAAAATAAAAATTTAATTATTTTTAAAATTAGTATAAATTTTTAAATACTTATAAAAAAATTAAAAGAATTTATCGAAACGCAGTCATTCATTAGCTTTTGATTCTTATGCCTGATTCAGTGAACTAAGTGGTGGAGGGAAGCGGGCAACTTGAAAGTAAGAGAAAAGGAACCCAAATTCCAACCAACCACTCGCTGGTTTTTTCCCTTTTTGGGGTATTAAGCCCTTTTCCATCGTATTATCAGTCTCCACAATTTTGGTAGGAATTGGATAAATTTTGTGTATTTTTCTTTAAATTTTAAATTTTTTAATCAAATAATAAATGCATTTAAGAAATATAAAAAGAAAGACGATGAAAACTCCTGCCGGAAAAAAATAATTACAAAAGAAATAGATGTTTAGGGAGTGTTTGGTTGGGGAATTGTTTTGAGTTTTAATTTTTTACTTTAGTTGAACATTAATTTGCAGATATTAGAAACTCTTTAAATTTCTTTAAAATCTAAAAAAATTACGAATCATATACCTGTAAGGTTGGAAATGAAAAGTTCAAACTTAATTTTTATTTATTTTTCAGCTTTTTAATGATAGGGTCCATATGTTGTGAGGATAAAAATATATTTAAATTCCTCCTTTGATAGAAAAAAAAAGATTTAAATCTCACCTCCAAATATTTTCTAACTTTATGATTAAAGTTGGAATCATGATACTCCCCTCTTTATGTTTGGTTTTTGCAAAAATTTGAACTTTACAAAAGTTAAATATTTTAAACCAAATTTCCATTTTTTTTTTTTTAAATGTAAGTACTTTCATCCATTTACAATTGAAAACTACGACTACTCCTCTTTAAAAATATATGTTTTTACAAATTCATATCTAATTAAAATTTTCTCCACAAGCATAACCAAGATTTTCCGATACAAGAGTGGGTCTCTTATTTAGACAAATAAACATTATTATCCATATATTTGTATCTAATTTACTTTTAAAAAATAGTTATTAAACTTAAAATATAACAAAATATTTTAAATTTTAAATTTAAGATTTACACTCACTGTAAATTACTAAATTACTCAACCCTTAATGTATCAAAGATATTACATGTTATAAGATAAAATGGTAAAATTGAAAATTTTTAATTATTTGATATCCATGTATTTGTATTTCTAATCTAAACATTACGACTCCATACCCACGGCCTCAAATTTTGGTAGTTGTAGGTGAAGGGCAGCGTGGTAACTAGCAACTCATCGTATTTGACAAGATGCTTCTAACGGCATTTTGAGGGAAAGAAAATCACATGTTTGCTGCTCTGCCGGAGAAGCATGCCAAACAATTGGAACACTTATTTAGTCACGAGACTGCCCTAGTTTGTTTTGGTTTAAATCTCAACAGTTCTTAAGTTTTAAGAATATTTAAACTTCTGTGAATTTTAAATTTTAAAAATTTCTCATAAACTCCAAAGAAAGTGTGTTAAAGAAAAAAATTTATGAAAAATGAATAAATTTTATTATTTGATTACATAAGATAATAAAAATAAGTTATAAATTTTTGAAAATATTTAATTTAGCTTTTAATATTTTTTGTAACCCTTTTTAATAGGTTTTAAAATGTTTGTTTTGTCTAAAGTTGTAACAAGTTAGATTTAGATCAAATCAAGTAAATTCAAATTTGAATTTGAATCTAATCCGACATTTTATAAAAATTTATGTTTGTTAATTCATATTCGAATATGACAAGTAATCTGAAATCTGATTATAAAATCTGATCCGATAAGAAAATAATAGTATTTTATATTTAACTCTTTCAATTATATATCATCAATTATATTAGTCCCTCAAATTTTTTATTTTCTCAAATTAGTATGTATAAGTTTAAATCTATTAGTATTATATGTTAAAGCTATCAATGGGACAGACTTTAATCTAAATCCAATCTGAATTTTAGGATTCAAATTCGATAAAAATATTTATAATAAAAAATAAGTTGACGTGTATTAAATTAAATAATATGATCTGTTGAGGATCTAAATCCAAATTTAAATAATAATTTTTCCATTAAATTAATGATCTTATATATATAATATTTAAAAATTTAATGGTATAACGATTAAATTAAGAAAATTAGAAAATTTAAAGACCAATGTAATTAATAAACTAAAATTGAAGAACTTTAAGTATAAAAGAATATTATTTATGTAAGATCGGATCTTCTTATTAAATTTCGAATTATTTATTAGATTCAAATATGATTTAACATATATAAATCATATAAGATTTCGGATCAGATTTGTGTATGAAAATAGTTAATCGAATTTGGATTCAAATATGACTAATTTGATTCAATTTCAACTATTTACAACCTTATTATATATATAATTATTAATTTAATAAAAAATTATTAAAAATTAGATTCAAATGTTTAACAAATCAAATTGTTCATTTCTATATCCGATTTATTTATTTTGAATTATAAATATTTATAATTAAATTAAATTAATCTAATATTTTAATTAAATTAAAATTTTAAAATTTAAATTAAATTCAAGGTGGATTCAAATTAAATTTAATTCGTTGATAACCCTAATTTTGCTTTTACTTTGACTAAAACCCTCCATAATAAAACTGGGGGCTGACAAACGGATTTAAGGGATACCCTCTTAAACAATACACTCTAAAATTTCAATTTAGAGGGAAAAATTGTGTTAATAGTTTGTATGATTATATTCGTAAAATTCTTTAACATCAGTAACCCCAGTTTCTTTTGGTTTAAATGTTGATAATTTTAAAGTACAAGAAATTTTATATTGTAAAATTTATTTATTTTTTATTAAAAAGAAAAAGTCTAATGATTGAACTTATAAGATCTCATTTGATATAAAATAGGTCAAGAGAAAATGAGTTTAGGAAAAGTAGATTTTAAGAAAATAAATAAAATTTATTGTTGGATTATATAAAATGATAAAAATAAATTATAATTTTTTAAAATATCCAATTTATATTTTAATTTTTTTATAACCCTCCTAGTGAGTTTAAAATAAATATTTATTTAGGGTATTATCTATAGATTGAGGATGGAGTCGGGTTTGATCAGCTCAAACTTGGCTTATACTTCCTTAACGCCTACGCCCTAAAATTTCAATTTGGAGTTTTGAAAAAATTTTATTCATAATCATTAAAAGTCATAATTTCTGTAATCACGTTCTAAAAATTCTTTAATATCCGCCAGCCAAGCGTGCCCTTAAAGTCTCTAATTCACAACATTACTTGAGAGAACTTTGACTTCCATCCCATCTTCTCATCGTCCAATGCGGTTCCAAGAGCGGGTCAATTGCTCACTCCAGTCCGCCAAAAGTGGGTAGAGAAACTTAACCGACCTCATAAATTCTCCCAGCTGGGAAGGAAAATTCTTACTTAACCCCTCCCAAATGGCAATCTCCAGTCCTCCATGATTGCACGGAGAGGGCAAAAGCTGTAAATGTAGAAGTTGTGAAATTTTTATTTTTAATTTTTCTGAATTTTTAAGTTTAAAAGCCAATTACATAATTCCATAAAAGCAGAAAGTCACACAAACAAAAGCTCTGTCAATTAGAATCTTTACTTTTTGGACATAATGGAGTTGGGCCATATTGGGCTTGACCCGGATCAGAACCCAAGAATGAGAGTCCATTGTCTGAATTTTGGGCCCAAATGAAGCCCGTTTCAACCGGATCCTCCTTCTAACCTTATCGTTTTTCTTCTCTCCCCTTTTGTTGCTATCAAGTTGCTTCATTTCCACAATCTATTTTGTTTCTTCCGAAACTATTTGCTTACTGTAAATTCATACTCGGATCACATGCTTTAACTTTGAGTAATCACAAGGACAATAATTTAGCTAAATTCCATGAGAGCTAGTAATCAAATCAAGAAAGCGAGAGATGGTGGAAAGATTGGTGTGTCAATCAAAGTCAATAGACTGGAAACTGCTACGTGTGGGGGACAAATGGATAGTAGGGGGAGTTAATCTTCCATTATCACGTGATAATGAACTTACCTTCATCCTTGTCTCAACCATTAATGCCGGTAGAGCACAAGAACAATCAATCAGTATCCACTCATGTCATTAACAGTCACCATAGAAGAATTAGAATCTCTCCATTTCACATTTCTTTGGTTTTTGTTTACTTTAATTGAATTAGGACATTCGTTTTTTCATACTTCATTTATTATCAAATTGGATTTTTAAATTGAAATTGAAATTTTTGTTAGAATCATCAAAAAATTACAAAGGAAATAAATCTTTTTCATTTAAGATAGAAAAAAATACAAATCTTACAAGAAAAATTTATTTGTCTATATCCATTTATTTTTCACATTCAGCATATGTAAAACCTGAGTTGGATAAAAAGTCAAGTGGAGATAAATCTCATACTAAAGGCACATAAATCTCATACTAAATCGAGATAAGTTACAAGGAGGAGAAGGGCAAGATATCTTTATCCACCTTATCCACCTTCTCCCAATATTAAGTATTATGTACTTTAACAATATTACTCTTATTTTTCACGAGACAAATTACCAATTATATATACACATTACCATTGACACTTAAATCTCATAAATTTAGAATTTATTAAAACAAAAATGATAAAAATAAAAAGTTGTGTGTATTAAAATAATATTATTTACAATTATTTATTAATATTTCAACTAGATAATTAAGGATACCTTAACAATGTATTTGATAAGCTAAATAAGACCTAGATAAGAATAAACATCTATCTTTATCCCATGTTTGATAAACTGGATAAAAGTTTCGAATAAGGTCTGGATACACATAATTATCTGACAAAATCCAAATAAGTTTATATGAAGAAAAGGAGTAAAATAATTTTATTTGATTTTTATGTATTCCCTTTAGATGATATTAATTTTATTATTCATAACTCAAATTATTAAATATATATCCATTTGCAGCTGTCAATCATTGCTTTCTGCCATTGCTGACTAGCACTTACCATTGATCATCGCCTTCTGTCATTGTTTACCAACACTGACCGCCGATCACTGCCTTTGGTGCAACCTATTAACCACTACCTTTTGTCACCACTAATCACCGCAAGCTATCAACTGTTGCTCACTATTGCAAGCTACTATCATCTGCTCGCAAAAAATAAAATAGTTATTTTGAAAATTTATATATTTATGAAGTTTTTTATTTAAATTTAAATTAAAATATTTTGAATAAGATATAATAATTCAAAACACTGTTCATTTAGTATATACATTAATCATAAATTGCCTTATCTAAATTTATAATATCCTACCTATGAACAAATTCTAGAGGGATATGAATCCTCCACGTCTATCAATTGCAAAGGTGGAGAGGCATATTTACGCAATCAAATAGTACATTTACAAAGGTGGAAAGGCGCATTTACACGATCAAATAGTACATTCACGTATGTAGCTTCAACCCAGTCTTGCAATCCAATAAATAGTCTTACTTCTATTTCATGAAAAGGATTATTGCCATGACTCATATATGTACAGTTCAAGTGTGTTTTGCAATTCAACCATATTGACACAACCGTCGTCCAACTCATTTATGAAGGAACAAAAAGGTATCTCATGTTTCTATAAATTATTTCCAATTAGGTCTCCAAAAAAGACAGAAAAATAACAGAGAAGAGGACTCTCTTATGATTGCTGTTAAAATTCTTTAGGGGTATATGCTTTACCAGCAGAAGTCAAAGGACACCCGTGAGGGGAATTTAAGTATATGCCAGAAGGTGGGTATATGAGCAGTTGCACCGGCCCAACCAAATGGCTCGTCATTTATTTACTTGAAAAACCAATAGAATCTAATTCAATCAAACCTATTAACCTTGTTCGGTTTCAGATTCCCGCTATAGAATTGCAGCCTCTTGTTTTCAAAGAGTGTATTATAAACAAAAGATTTTAAGAGAATCTGTGTTTATAATTTTAATTATAGTAAAATTGGAGTGAAGTGACGAATAACTTCCAAAAAATGAAAAGATGCTCAATCAGGATATATAGTAAGCTCGTAAGATGTATATATGTGGCTTACTTCATCAATAATTGGAGACAAATAATAAGGTTGGTGAAGTGGCAACACCTATTTTAAATGCTCATCTAAATATTGGTTTGGACAAAAAAAAGACTCTGAATGGAGTCGTTTTATGTAATTGATTGAATGTTTTGGACTTAATAACCAAGGAAATAATCCAAATATACAGTCTATCCATAGATGTCTTGACCTTTTATATTTGGTTAAGTTCAAACAATCTAAAATAAGAATTTTGTAACAAAAATCTTAATTTGAAATACGAGAAATACCCTCCTCTATTATTCAACAAAACCACAAGAACTGAGAATCCTACCTTTCAAACTATTCAATTATTCAGTCACATAAACTTGAGGTTGATTGGTGAACAAATTAATTAATGCTAGAAAGAATGACTCCGTGATCCGTTCACATTGCTTCTTGTCACAGAGTTTTAAGAATAGAGATCTAAATTGAATTCGTAACCTTCTGCAATTATAAATACTCCCCTACTCTTCAGTCTGCATCCTCAAAGTGCAACCAACCAAACTCAGAATCACCAAAATGACGCTAACCGTTTCTCTTCTTATTCTTCCCTTCACCATATCTATTGCCTTGGCTTCACAAGGCCTCAACCAAAGCCTTCCAAAACCTTCTTTATCTGCTATCTCCACCACTCTCAACTACCATGGAGGTCCTCTCCTCACTGGTCCTGGACCCATCAATCTCTATCTCATCTGGTACGGATCTTTCCTCCAACCGGAAAGAACCCCCGTCACCGACTTCCTCGCTTCTTTCCTCTTTTCTCAGGAAGCCTCCGTTGCGACCTGGTGGAAAACCGTTCGTCTGTACACGGACAGGAACAAGAACCCAGTTTCTGGCAACGTTAAAGTAGTCAGACAACTAGGTGACATAGGGTACTCACTTGGAAAGAACATTAAGCGCGATCAAATTGCTAAGTATGTTCGGAACATGATTATTAACAAGGTATTGCCCCTGGACCTTCATGGGGTATACCTGTTTTTGACCTCCAAAGACGTTGTTGTGGAGAGGTTCTGCATGAACTCATGCGGTTTCCATGGCAGCACCATGGTGGCGGCGAATAAGCAGGTGCTTTATGCACACGTTGGAGACCCATCCGTGCAGTGCCCTGGCTTATGTGCATGGCCGTACGCGATTCCAACCTATGGTCCGCCTGGACAGGTTGGTGATTTCCTATTGACTTATTGTACTGCTTTTTTTTTTTGTGTGTTTTTTACCGTCATCAGAATATATATTTTTTCAAGCGCAGGCACTTGTCGCGCCTAATGGAGTTGGCTTGGATGGCATGATCATCAATATCGCAACACTGCTTGCTGGTGTCGCCACCAACCCTTTTGGTTCTGGGTACTTCCAGGGTGATGCTGCAGCGCCGCTAGAAGCAGTGACGGCGTGCCCGGGGATTTTTGGCACCGGAGCTTACCCGGGTATCCCGGAGACTTGAAGGTGGATGGAAAGGGCAAGGCAAGTTATAATGCGTACGGTGTTAATGGCCGGAAGTTCCTTCTGCCGGCTGTATGGGATCCCGTTGGGATGACATGCAAGATTGTCGCTTGAATTTAGACCTCACTGTGAGTGATGTCTGTAACCGTGTATATATGTAATCGTTCGCAGAAAGCTGTTTTTTCCTGGGAGAAGGTGTCATGAAATACCATGTTTCGCTGTGTTTCTGTCTTTACATGATGGATTAAACAAGTAACATGGGAATAAATGCTTTCACCCAGTCGCATGTGCTCTTGTCCTCCCATCGTCTCCTGTGATCCCCACCTCGGATAGATTGAAAGGAAAATCCCCACCCGGAAAGAATTAATGTAAAGTGGTACGGGCTTGGGTATATGAATTAATAGAAGTAGCAATATGAATCAACATATATTAATTTCACACATAAATAGCATTCAATTATATTGAACTTCAATTTATTAAGAAAATATAATAATTTCAATATGATAATAAAAATTTGTTTAACACGAAATTGATAATATTTTTAGTATATTTCAATTATTTAATAATAATAATATGAATTTGACATCAGTTAAAATATAGATATAATACATAAACACGAATTCCCAGTACCCTTGATTGATAAAACTTTCATATCAAAGATAAATATTTTTTCAAACCAAAAGCTTAATGCAGAGATAAACCACGTAAAAAATTCACTTAAAAAATAAACACCATAAAATATGCAAAGAACAGATTCTGAGCTCACGCTAGCAAAACTGCAAACAACCTTTAGGTCTGTCATGACATGTATGTCACCAGACCAAAAAATTCCCACGCACACCGGCTTATAAATTAGAGAGTTTAGCATTAGCACATCGCTCCCAGTTCAAACAAGCTAGCATTTGTCAATCCAAATGTAACCCACAATCATCAATAAGGTATAACCAAGAAATTAAACATAAATAACTCTTTATTAAGAATATTATGATTCTGAAAATTTTGGTTTACCTGTGATCCATTGTTTCTATTACAAAAAAATAGGGGAGGCTTTCTCCTTGTTAACCCCAATTAAATGCTGCTTCTCTGATGGGATCCATCAGTCAGAAGCCAACACCTGAAGAATTTCATTCTCTGAAAACTGTTGAATGATAATTGGATCTTTATTTCCAATTCCGGGCAAGAGGGGAACTGGCATAAAAATGTTACATCACGGAAACTACGTTTAGGCTAAGGCGCTCAAGGAATCATTGCAAACTCTAAAATCTCTCCGAGATGGTTAGTCCGAGGGACCAATCATCTTCTCTGGCACTACAAGTTGGTTGAACTCTTCACTGGTGAGTACTCCTAGTTTTAGAGCAGCTTCCTGCAAGATTGATCCATGTTTAGATTAACAAATGCAAGTTCAAAAATTTTGGGATACTCTAGTTGATAGAGAGAAGGGAAGCAAAGCCCGCTTGGCTTTGTTTTTGAAGACAACAAATCTACTTAGATAGTTGTTTCAGACATAGATTTTAAGAGATTTTCGGAAAACATCTTCCTTTTTAGGGAAAAAGACAAAAGTTGATTCAAAATTCTATTAGACTATTTTTACTCAAAAATATAGATAATAAGAAAACAATAGGTTTTTTTAAAATTCTTAGTACTTTCTGTTTAGAAAAATACAAAATTAAAATTGAGTATAGAATAAACAATTGAATTGCCAGAAGACACAAGTGCTGCATAAAATTGTAGGGAGTCTCGCCACCTTCAGAGTGCTTCCCTCCTTGTGAGCCTTTTTGGCAACTGCAGCAGCATTGTCATAGCCAATTTTCTGGAACAAAGCAGCAGCATATGTTATTATCCACACGCACGCGCAGAGCAACTACAGCCTAACTGCATGTAAAATGGAGGTAAAAACTTACAGGGTTCAAAGATGTGACAAGCATTAGCGACTGAAACCAGGAGGATTCACGTGACAAAAAGTTCAAAAAAAAAAAAAAGATTAGTGTTTGGCTTTAACAAATAAAATGAAATGAAATTCTGTATATCCACGCCCTGCAGCAGCCTACCTCATGCAGTAATTTTGAAATCCGCTCCCTATTGGCCTGGATTCCCCTTGCACAATTCTTTTCAAAAGATGCAGATGCATCCCCTATTAATCTCACTGACTGTTAGCATACATCACAAACCCGGGTGAGTAAAATACAGTATGCATGGGGACACAGTAGCATAAAATCCCACTCTGTATCTATATGCAGGGGAATGACGACATTCAACTGTTCAATCACTAAGACAATATTTCATTTTATCCTGAGCCAAAACCTAATTTTAAACAATTATAAAAGCTTGTTTTGGAAAATTTAAGTGAAGAAAATATAAACTTCCGTCAAAATATGTATATAATCCCGTAACCCAATGCAAACAATTTCCAGAGACATTTTTTGTTCCAAAAAAAAAAAAAATTGAAACAAATACTCCCTCACCCCCCTCCCCTCAACAAAAGCAAAAAGAAAATAAGAATAAAAAATAAAAATTAGAAAATCAAGTGCCTCTTTCATTAACCATGTAGAGTATAACTTCAAATTGTAGGTTTGATATTGCACGAGGATTTTGTAAAATCTTTTTCCCACACATTCCATTCAACAGGCATAAAAGTTAAAAAGGAGAGCAAACCAGTAAGTCAGGTGCCAGCTGTATATAACTAGCAGATACATCATTTGTGCTCCAGGAAAGGAACCCAAGTATCCAATTATATACCATCTCTGTTGCCATCTTTCTTAGAACCATAAACATAAAATGTTAATAGGACTTACATGTAGAAGAGCAGCAGCAATCATAGGCTTGAAAACATTAAGCTCAAAATGACCATTTGATCCACCCACAGTAACAGCAACATGGTTTCCCATAACCTACAAAAGCATACAAAATGAAGGATGATTCAAATAAAACTGATTCAATCAACAACAACCTTGTTATTGCACCAATAGAAGCAAAAGCATATAAAAGACAAAGTCTTTTTGGAGAATCAACATTTGATGTATCCACCAGTTAATTTTTCTCATCTACACAATAAGACACAAAACCTCACCTGAGCACAAACCATTGTAAGGGCTTCACACTGAGTTGGGTTGACTTTCCCCTGAAATCAAGTAAGCACACACAGGATGAGTTTTTTCTTTTTTGCCCCCAATTTTTAGCTTCCCCCCCTTTTTTTGTGGGTGGTGTGGGGAGAGGAATTACTGAGTTTAATAATGAGAAAGGTAAAGGTTGTTACAGGCATGATACTGCTGCCAGGTTCATTTTCAGGAAGAATAAGTTCACCAAGGCCGCAACGTGGACCGCTGGAAAAAGAAAAGGATGCATGAACCACAAGAGCTAAGCAACAAACAAAGATGGTGAGGGTTATCTAAACACAATATATACCTTCCTAGCAAGCGTATATCATTTGCAATCTTCATAAGGGAAGCAGCAATAGTGTTTAGAGCTCCACTGGTTTCAACAAAAGCATCATGTGCAGCCTGATGATTACAGAAATATAAAACATGACACAGAGTTTTGCTGCAAACATACAACATAGACATAAAAATAAAAGCAAAAGTCAGCAGAATCGGATACAAACCAGTGCCTCAAATTTGTTTTCTGCTGTAATAAATGGTAATCTTGTTTCCTCAGCTACTGCTGCAGCAATCTTTACATCAAACCTGAATAAGACACAAATATGGAAAAACAAGATAAACAATAGAAGACAGATCAAAATAGATAAATTACTACCAGATATTATTTAAAAAGATAGTAAAATGACACCTCTTGCCAATTTTTTAAGGTTCGGTCACAATCTGACCACATGACAGCATTTTGTCTGCTGAGCAAAGGGGCCACAAACTTCCTGATCTCTGAACAACCCTTCACACGCACTCCACTGACTTCCCCCAAGAAACTTATTTTCAAGAATCTCAAAGAATGGCCCTAAAAGGACTCCTTATTCCCTATGCTATTGCACAAGTATCATGTTTCGACAATGTCAACCCCTATGTTCTATTCGACTCTCGCTCTCCCCATGCTTATGTCTACCCTCAACACCAATGATGCTATGCTAATAAAGTTGAACAATTAACATAAATGAAGGCATTGTGCATTTCAACATGTGCAGCATGAATAGGATGCTAACTCTACAATGTTGTTCAAGCATGCAAATGGGAAGAAAGAACAATATAGAACACACTATCACAGGTTGTATAAGCCAAAATTACTAGCAAAATGATTCCAAATACATGAAAGAAAGCAGAAATCGCATATCAGTGATAAGAAGGATAAAAAAAAAAAAGGTGGCTACTAAAAATTGCAATCTGTACCCTTTCTTAGTGTTCAGTCCAGTCCCCACAGCAGTGCCACCCTGTGCAAGCTGCTCAAATGACACCTTTAGAAAGTAAGATACGTAGACAAAACAGATAAAGTGGAAAACAGAAAAATAGGGGTCAACAGATATATCTTAACCTGATACATGCGTGGAAGGGTGCTCAAGATTCGATCAATTCCATATTTCACCTGCAACCAGATCATAATTAAGGAGTCTCTTCCAGCATAATCAAATATTTGTGCTATTCCACCAACTATTGCAAATTGATATGATATAATAACTAATACAGAACATTTCATAATTTGACAGCAAAATAAGCTCACTTGCGTGGTGTAGCCACTGAACTCTTGCCCAAGAGTCAAAGGTGTTGCATCTTGAGTGTGAGTGCGTCCAATTTTAATAATATCTTTGAATTCAACTGACTGGTAAAAATCATATAAACAGTATAAGTAGAAGTAGCAGTAGCAGTAGCAGTAGCAGCATAGGTAGAAGTGGAAGGAGTGTACTAACAAAAATAGATGTGTGATAAATGAAAGTGAGCATGCTTGGACAAAAAGGTCAAACTCACGACCAGAATGCATTTACAAGAAAAAATAAATAATCTTAAGCTGAAGATAATAAAAATCTAGACATCACAATACTTTATGATTGATAGCAAAAACAAAATTAATCTGTCAAGCCAACTTAAATATCTTTCCACTACATCCCAAAATCCTATAAAAAAATATGTATATAATTATTATTCCTTCCAATCAGTTGATTGATAGTCATAATATGCTTAAATTTGCCAAAGATACAGCATTTAACAGCACAGCCAGAGCCACTGTAAATGATAACTAGACAAGCCTCCCTAAAGCCATATAAATTAATATAAATAACCACCTGCAAACTTTAAGATGATCTGCAGACCAGTGAGATAAACAAGCATCGGATGAACAGAAGCCTGATCTAGGGAGAGAAGTCTTGACCAAAACTTCACTTCAGGTTGAAGAATTTAAGATTTTATAGAAAATGTCTCATAGTCGAAACATAACAACAATTTGGCCTAAAGGCAGCAGCAAAGGATTCAGAAATTTTGTGAATGGAAACAAATTTATTTTTTCCCTATAATTTGGTAAGAGTAACTTATTTTCTTTATCAATTTTAGAGAGGACGACCTTATGCTTAAACCTTAATTTTTTAGGCAAATGTTTCATAAGTTTTATATAGAGGTAGTAGAGGCAAATTATTTTTGTTCGAAGCATAATACGGACATCGTTTTTTCATAACATTTTGTGGAAGCGAACTACTTTTTCATAAATTTAGCAGGAGCAAACATACACTTCAGAATCAGAGCCCTTCTGGTCCAGCTTGCATATTTTAACTAAGTACAGTTTAACCCAGTGAAAACCATCAAGGATGGCACATTAGAAACTTTGTAAGGACTTTTATTGCCAGCCTGACTGCCTCCCATAACCGCAGCTAAAGCCATAGCCATAATCTAACCTAAAGGCTCCGTCAACCACCATCCATATACTCATAGCATCCTCCACCCTCTTAGGCCAATCTAGGACCGCCAGAAGTCCTAACCACCAGAAGACCCACCCTCAGTGACTCTTCAAGAAACTATATATCACCACTACTTGGTCTTCCCATCAATAATCTACATCACAAGAATTGAGCCTTCACCACCCATAATACAATAAATCAACTCCATCCAACACCTTCCATGGCACCACAGGTATTTTCTGTCCTAACCTAACAAGACATCCCTGCACTTGTGCACTAGACATAAGAAAAGGAAGAATTGTGGAGAGATAAATGAAACTGTAAATACCTTATAATGGTCAAATTCCTTTTTTCTATTGGATTAATAAATGCATTTAATAATAATATGAACATAATTAAACCTTAGAATGGAGTGTGGTTTGTAAGTTCTTCAAGTTCGGTAATAATCTTGAATTTACTTCCGTTGCAGCAGCAATATGCATGACCTGTAAATAAGCAGAATCAGCTACATGCCATCAAGACACATGAATTCTAGAGATGATCCCAAAATTCAGTTTACAATCAAATTAAAAAATCACACCAACTTCGCTTTATTAGGCTTACTGTTGGAAATGTGTCATTAGAAGATTGTGATCTGTTCACATGGTCATTTGGATGCACGAATTTTTCACCTCTCTTACGGCCAAGAATTTCAGCTGCTCTATTTGCTATTACCTGTAAAGGGAGATAATCATCATAACCTTGAAGCTAGGGAGAAATAAAATCATCCTAGCTTTAAACCTTCTGCTCCAGATATGCACTCCTGAACCCCTCCCAAAGGAGTAAGGTATAAAAAATAAATAAATAAATAAAAACTGCATAACATCTGTTTCCCTCTAAAATATTTGCAATTCAATATCCATCTTTTTCTTTTAGCTTTTCAATTTTTGGAAAACTGAAAGTTCACAAATCTTTCAAATTTTCAATGAATAACTGGAAGGTTTGAAGTGGACATTTTGGCTTTAATTCCACATTTCATCCAAAGTACAAAATGTAAAAGAATGAATCATATATTATAATTGTCTACATAAACACATTTAAGAATGTTGTTCATCAGTTTAATTTTTTAGAGCTTGGTGTATGCTTTACTGCCTATTGTTTAAGTTCAAGAAGTTCACTTAGTTTGTCTTTCTGCACTTGGTAACAAAATTAAACAATCACCAGAAAACAGCCCATCAAATCATCAGAAGAATTTAGCTGACTGGCATCTTGCCTCAAAAACATCATTTTCCTTTCAATGTCCCATCACATTCAAGCAAAGGCACAAAAAGACTAACAGGAAGACACATTGTTGCTCTCAGCTCCACACACCCTATCTAAAAATATCTGAGTTTTATACAAAAGAATGAGGTCAAAATGCCAAAATTTTGCAGTCTGAAGTTCAAGTTTCATAAAGGATCAAGGACTTTCTCATCATCCACCTCATATTACTAATTACTTCACATCCCATGTTCTTCTTTAGAAGACATATCCAAATTTATTGGGTGAGGCTATATATGAAACCTATGGATCCCAGTCAAAACAACACAATGATATCAAAAAGTAGAACACTGAACTAAAAGGTGTGGAACCAAGAATATAGGGTACTGGCAACATATAAAATTAGAAAAAACATGCAAGTGACAGTTCTAAAAATTCCCGAAAATTGAATTACCTCATTGGCATTCATGTTGCTTTGAGTCCCACTGCCGGTTTGCCATACCACCAGAGGGAAATGGTCATTAAGCTTTCCTTCAGCCACCTCTTGGGCTGCTTGCATTATGGCTTTCCCTATAGATGGATCAAGACCATACTCCATGTTGACCTGCAGAAGAGTAAATAATTTAAATTAGACTAGTTTTTGCTATTAAATATAAAAATCCCAATATAGAAAGTCAAGCCATTGTGATCAAAGACTCAATCAATAACTGAAAATCCCTCACAATTCTTCTCAACATAAAAGAACACCATCATAAATAAATAAAAACTCATATAATGATGTCATAGTACTAGACTTGAAGAGTCAACCTTGGCAGCACATTTTTTAAGGACACCAAAAGCACGGATAATTGGCTCAGGCATTCGCTCACGGTCACCACCGATCTCAAAATTCTGCAATGATCTTTGAGTTTGAGCTCCCCACAATCTGAAATATAAGGCAATTATGGTTACAGCACAATAATTAAAGAAAATCCATAAAACTTCAATGTATTGCTTGAGTTAATGTATATTGCAAAGGAATTTAGGCCCACTCAATTCTTAATGTCAACTGATTCATGCATTACTGAAACATTGAAAAAGCTTAGTTAAAAAATCCCTCACGACAAACCCATTTATTATATTGGAGCTATCCATGTTAACAAAACAAGCTGACCTTTACTAGTGAAAATCTGGATTATCTATGTAGATGAAGAAATCTTCTACGTGGGTCCCCTCTAAAAGCATAAATGAAAATCACGTAACATATATAGTATCACTTCTGTTCCCATCTCTACCAAAGTAGGGTTCATTTAAGGACAAAAGCACCCTGAAGAAAATCATTGCCACACCCAATAACTTTCACAATTATTTATTTAATTTTTTTTTTTGGAGGGGTGGGGAGGTGCCGGAGTTGCTATTGCTCATCATTTTAACTAATTGCTTGTAGCAAGGGCTAAAATATAAGGTTTTTATGCCACTCTGAGGATAGTGATTCTTGGCCGTATCAGAATATTTAGATATTATAATGATGCAAAAGCCAAATAGCAATTGCAAGAGATAAGAATTTTTTTTTGGTCACACAAGAGATAAGATATTTGATTAGCACCTAGATGGGTAATGCTAGAAATAGTGAAGATGACACACCCTCGAAAGAAAAATAGCAAAATATTCAATAAATTGGCATAAGGAGTGACTCATCCGTCATGGTAAAGTGCCGTCCATAAGAGGTTCTGGACCAATCAATTAGAAAAAGAGTAGCTCTATTTATTCTTTGGACAACTAAAGCAACACCAAAAAAGAGCTTTGCCAACTTGAAGAGTAACATCCAAGTGGAAAGTGAGCAATGAACATCGGCAAGAATAGGGAAGAAAAGACGAACTTGTCAGAGGGAACTTGAATCGGGCCAAATGTGTCTCGTTCCTCCCTGAAGGACGTCGAAAACGACCTCCAGCAAGAACCATATCCCAGCAACTCAACCATAAACGACGTCGTCGACCCGACAGAGGCGCGACGAGATGCCATTAACATCGCCATGCCTGGCTGCTCTCTGATCTAACCTTTCCACAACGAACGCAGCGTATAAGCAGCCAAAAAATTTGATGGACACTGCATAAACATCAATATCGCACCTAGAAGTTAGACAGAGGAGGAAAGATCGAGCAAGCAACGAACGGAGCGAGATAATTACCCGGAGGAACTGTGGTCAAGGAGCTCGGACGGGGAAGCTCTGATCGACAAGAAAATTCGGGAAACGTTTGAATCGAATGCAAAAAAGTGTTGCAACCTCCAAGTTTTAGAATTAATTCTGTTCCTGCTGTTTCTGGTGTGACTTTTCTACGAAAGTGTGCTTTCTTGCTTCCACGAACCAACTGTTTTGATGGCTAGATGAGAAAAGCGGCTTTGGTCGTGCCATAGAGCATGGAGGCACCACCACATGGGATGCGCATTTCAGAAGCAGGCCTTTCAGGGCCGCCATACAGGATGGGCTTGCGGCCCATGTTTCCTCAGTCCTCATCTCGCTGGTTGACTTGTTTTATGGGCTTGGGCTTTTCCTGCCCTGGGCTAGGTTGCAGACGCCTTGTAAGTTAAGCCCGTCACCAAACCCTTAGACCTCCTCGTAATCCCCCTAGTTACAGCCTTTTATCATTGATTTTTTTTTTTTCTCCCTTCTTGTGGGTAACAAAGGAGCACAAGGTGCAAAAGAAAAAAATAAAACTAACTAGAACATGAGGCTCCGGACCTATCGAACCACGGAAGGGCCATCAAGTTTAAAGTCGAAAATTTTCAATCTTTTAAACTTGGTCAAAAAAAATATGTTAAATTTGGTGAGAAAATTCTCACAAAATCTTAAAAAACGTTGATAATTTTTTCCTGTCATTTGAGACTAATAAACTAATAAATTCTTTAAAAATAAGGACAATGTCAGGTTATCACTCCACTTACCATTCATTTTAACTCTACTTATTTTGTAGAAAAATCCCTTCTTATAAAATATACACAAACCAAACCAAACCGCATCATTTTATTACTAAATTACTTGTGTATTTCATTGTCATTTCTCCCATCTAAGAGCTATTGTTTTCCCCTAAAATATAACTCTTTTTTGTAAATTTTCTTTGAAAAATTGACAAGTAGTAAAAAATAAATTTACTTTATATTATAAAAATATACACTTATAGGATAATTTAATGACTTTTAGCTAATTTTTAAAATAAATTTTACAAATCTAATCATTTTAATCCCACAAGTATGCATTAAGTTGAATTTTGTTTCAATTTAAATTGTTTTTAATTTAGTTTAAATAAAAAAATTTAATGGAAATATATAAATAATTATTGTTTCAAACGGCTTTGGATTATATCCACGTCTGGTAAGCGAAGATGGTCTTAGACCCGTAGATTCTTGTTTACAACCTTCACCAAAACCGTGCGTAGGAATAACTCTGTGCTAAAAGCCATCGCCGGTGATGTCTGCTGTATATATGTTTGTCCTTGTCCTTTAATAATTAGCAAACTGAATGATGGATGTCCCAATAACAAAAGATAGAAGGAATGTGCATTGAATCATAGATATACACGTATTATTGTGATTAAGAGCGTGTCTATTTTAATTTTAAAAAATCCACATGGTTTGGAATTTATACATATTTTAAAATAGTTTTAAATCTGTTAAAATATAATATTTGAATACTTAATGGAATAGTTTTAAAAATATTAAGTGTATGATTAGAATATATATATAATTAAAAATATTAAATAAAATCTTGAAATTAAATTATTGTTATGACAGGTACAAGCTATGGAATTCCTTGGCTGCCTTGAATGACGCTAATACAACCTTAGTGAAATGGGAATCTTTGAGCATAAGTTAAAATTACCAATGGACGTGAATAAGAATAATTATGTCAAGACAAATTTCACATTATTGTTGTGTTTCCTAAATTATGTGATTGATAAGTCCTTGATAAGCATATATAATCCACCAAATAAAAACTTGTCCGAATTGAGTAGGTTTGGATTGAATTATTTCAATATCTCTTTCTCTTTTTACGTGTAAATTACTTAATTTTAGAAAATTGTTGGAAAAAAAGAGAGAGAAATCTTGAATAATTTCATTTTATATTCTTTTAAATTTGAAAAGAAAAAGGCTAATGATTTTATTTAAATTTTGTAATACCAAATTAATCCAACAAAACATAAAAACAACGTTTTAAATGCATTGGCAACCTCCCAAATCAAATAATAAGAAGAAATTATACATTTATTAAAAAGAAATTACTCTCCTATATTTTTTTTCCCCTCTCTTCCTCAAATTATGTAAATAAGTCATAAAAGTATCGGGTTTTCTATAATTGCTTGTTTTAATATTGGTAAATACTTATGTATAATTGTAATTATAGATAACTCTTTTAAATTAAGAAGAAGTTATATGTAAATAACTTAGACCCTCTTTAAATTTGATTCATCTTATCATGTAAAACTTTTTTTTGTTAATAATTTTGTTAATTAAACAGCTATAAATAAAAATAAAAAATTATTTTGTAGTTTGAGAAATCTTTTTGTAAAAAATATTAATTTTATCCAAGAAAATGATATTTTAGATTTGCTGACCTAATGAGAGCCACCCGACCCGAGTGGGTGATGGGGATGGAATAAATCGGGAGGGTCGGTTTCATCGCATGCGGCAGGGACCAGGAGCAGCGTGTTGTGCGGGCATCGGATGAAAAAGAAGCAATGGTATTTGTCAGTTGCCGTTTTTACTCAAAAAAAAAAAAAAAGGTCAGTGGTTTTGATTGGTCTAAAAGTTCACAGTTCACGCCTATAGTTGTAAAGATCTAGCCGTTAGTTACAGTGAATCCGCTCACTGCTCGGGATCAGGACTGAAAACCGTGGGTTGGTGGTGGTTCTGTTCCCGCGGGGCTTGACATGTGATTTGTTCATTCGATCAGGGGCTTTTTCGTCAATGGAATCGCCCCAACGACAAAGAACATGTGAGTTGATGGGGAAAGGATCTAGAGAAGATATGAAAAATACTAGAAATTGAGGATTTTTTTTTTTTTTTGGCAATTCATTTTGATTAGTTCTGTGCATTAACCCGTGCGTAGCACGGCGTTTGCAATTAAACGTTGATTATCAATTCCTATTTATTGATTATTTAGACTATTATCACATAATTTATAAAACAAATTATATATTATTCAAATACATTAAAATTTATTTATATTAATAGATGACCAGGGTGAAGGATCTCATTAAATTTAAATATTATTTTTTGAAGAATTACAAGATCAATTTAAAATATTTATTGGGTATGATCTAAACAAATTTCATTTTGTTGTTATAAATCATTTTATTTAAAGAACCAATGGGAGGAAGATATGTGTTAACAATAGCTTCAGAAAACTCTAAAAATTTTATGGTATCAATTTAAGGAGTTGTTAATTAAAGAATTAATAGTACGATGACATGTGTTCACGATGATTTATAAAAAATTTTAAAATTTATTGTATTTTTAAGTAAAAAAATATTATAATATATTAATCATAAGTAGATAATTGACATTATAAAGATAAATTATTCATTTATATATAAAAAGTTATTTAATTTATTTGTTCTCTTTTCTTAATCTTTTATATGAAAAATGGAATAGTTTAGATTTTATATTTGGAAATGACTATTTAAGATCTCAATTAGGGAAGAAGTCTAGGTCTTTGAATGTAACAAAACATAATTGAATGGTTTTTGATTAAATTGGGTTATATTGAGATTTTTTTATACTAATATTATAAGTTTTTTAATTATCAAAATATATAAAATTTATTTTTTAAAAATTAATTATAAAATTTTGACTTTTATATAAAAGTTGGTGTTCCCAAACTTAGTTCCCGATTGAATATGCAAAATCAGACTGAATGGAAGCGGTGGCAAAGCAAAGCAGGCGTGAATGGGAGGGTGGGCAAGTCAAAATGTGAGCTGATGAATTCCCATTATTCAATAGCAATAGTAATAGTTATGTACCATTTCTTCACTTAAAATAATCAGAAAGAGTATCTCCCCTATCTTTTATATCAATAAAAGAAGGTTTTTATTAATTAATTTTCCGAGGAGGGGAAAATCTATCAATACACATAAAAATGATAACTGTTAAAAAGATTTGATTTTCCTTCCATGGGAGGTGACACCATCAAGAAGGGAACTATGAGTGGGTGGATGCATAATTGAAGGGGATGGTCCCCTCATTCCCTCAAATGCTCTGGCCGTGTGAACCACATGCGAGGGGAGACCTTCCTCATTTCTTCCCTGACCCCAAAGTTTTCCAATATTTGCACTTCTGCCCCCTCCCGTACCATTCACTCCACCAATTATACCAGTCAGCCAGATTGAAGATTCTCTATTCCGAAGTCGAACAAATCACCCACCCAAAACCCAACCCATCGCCAGCTACTACTCCCACCTTCTCTCTCCTCTTCCTCTCTCTAATATTCCTGTATATATATGTATCGGCCGTTGGCGGGGGCTATTTCAGTGTCGGCAGCAATACCGTTTGACAAATTAGCGAGATTAATGGGGTGGATTAAAGGTAAATAAATTATTTTCCGGTGCGCTTTCCATGTGTGATTTGCTGGATACTGTGCTTATATACGCATGAAGAGCTGTCTTTGCTTTTTTCTTGCGGTGTCGCTTTCTCTGGCCATCCGTTTTTATTATTTTGTTTTTATTGACTTAATTGCCTTCTCTCATCGTATTAATCGCTACCCTTTTCTCTTCTTTCTTCTTCTTCTTCTCCTGGTCACTCCGGCGTTTACTCTTGGGTGGCCTCCAATGGCAGGGAAGAAGAAGACGCACTCGATGAAGATGCTAGTACGTACGTTACTTTTCTACTTCGTTCGTAGTTTTTTTCTGGGTTTTGCTGATTCACAGCTTCAATTTAGTATTCGAGTCCTTTGATTTTTTGGATATTTAATGAAAACATGGACTGCATATGCTATTGATGATTGGTAATGTTATTAGTGAACAAATTTGCAGTGCATTGAGGGAGTTTTTGCTCGATTCTGAGTATAATGCTCTGGTAATTAGAAGATCCCGCTGTGTGGTCAAATTTGGTTATAGGAATTTATTAGTTGTTTTGATCTGGGTTTTTCCTTTTCTGGCCAGAAATCGTCTCGATCTTTAAATTGTTCCGGGCGCCTTTGCCTGCATTGTGTGGGAAATGAGATATTGGAGAGTTTGATTTGAGTACGTTTTTCCTTTGTAGTTGAAGTTCATTAATTCAAAGGGATAGGAAGAGATGCAATGCTTTCTCTCTGGAAGCAGATTTAGATTTAGCTTTCTTGTTCATGATTCATACGATAATGAGAGCCGTACCTTAACTGATTTTTCTTGTTACTTCCAGTTTATCCTTCTGGAATCAATGGACTCCGCAAAGTCATGTAATTTATGCAATATATAAATAAGCAATATTCCATTCTGAACCAGATTCTCTCTTTCTATGAAGCCAAATAATGCTGAAGTAGTTATTTAGTGATATTTCTAGCTCAAAATTTTATATCATTCGTGTTATCATCTGTGTTTTGCTGATGTGTGAAGCTTCCCTGTAAAATCTAATGTCTAGCCTACGTGTAAATTATCAATGAGGGTGCTTTAATTTTTTTTCCCTCTGAAATTTCCCTTAATGTCCCTATTAAATTTTCCAAAAATCTCTAGTACCTTGTACAGAATCTTTGATAGTTAATGGTCTAATCCCAGAGCTCTGTGCTTGGCCATGCTTTTCTGTCTCTCAAAACAATGCTATTCTGGTTTTGATTTTGTTTTTTTGACTTATCTAATTTTTATTGGCCTTTGATATTGTCATATTTACTTAGGAGTTATATAGGCTCTTTCAATACGTAGCTATTGTGATTCTTCTTTTGGTCGTTAAACTATGAGTATGCAATAGAATACATTTGAACAAAAGAGAATGTAAATAGTTTTTATTTTCAAGTATGGGCTTTCTGCTATTTATCATTTTGTGTTGTTGATCTGAATGTATCAAATTGGACTACAATTTGCCCCCACAAACAGATACTGTATCAACAGTTTTTGGTTTTAAAAGCTGAATTGATTGATAGTTGAACTTCTTTGTTTTGATGCTCTTTTAAACTTTTTCTTTTGTCCTCTCTTCTTTTCAGGTGATTTTACTTTTGCTTCTGGTATTAAGTGATGCTATTACACATCGTAGGGATCAAAGTGAAGGACAGTGTGGATTGAACACACTTTTGGAGGCCAGACCTCATAGTGTATCCATCTTGGAATTTGGAGCAGTTGGAGATGGGAAGACGTTAAACACAGTTGCATTTCAAAATGCAATTTTCTATCTTAAGTCATTTGCTGACAAGGGAGGTGCTCAGCTTTATGTTCCACAAGGCAGGTGGCTTACTGGGAGCTTCAATCTCACCAGCCACCTTACCCTCTTCCTGGAAAGAGAAGCCATAATTCTAGGATCAGAGGTTCTAATTTCAACTCAAGTTCCCATTTTTTTTAAAGAACTAATAGACAAATCAGATTCATCTCCTGCTGATGCAGATCATGAAAAATTCTCTTATTCTGATGTGGTAGCTGGAAAAACAATGGGTAGCTTGTGGAATAAAGTAGCTTCATTTCATAGTTTTCCTTCGTGGGTTATGTACTAAGTTCATCATATACTGGTAGGTGAACGGGTTGCAATGGTATAGGAATAGAATGGGTTCTGTTTTTTTTTAGGCTGTATTGCTAGGTGAATTTGGGTTCTTGTAATGCTTTTAGGCTCGTAACTGAATTTAGATTTATTAAACAAAGTGATTTTGTTTCAATTAAGTTTTTGTGACAATTGTTGGGGTGATTAGTTTACTTTATTCTTTCTGCTTTCAGTTTTCTTGATACAAGATATAATAAGCACAGTGAACTTTATCAAACTCCATGCTCTGTACAATATTCCGTGCTATCTCTCCCTCACACAGATAGACATATACACAAACATAAATGTTTATTGTCAATCTGTCATAACATATAAAGATAAGTTATGCTAGCAAGCCTACCAATAAAAGTACACCTTATGTTACCAGGAAGAAAATTTTTCTAGCGTGTGGAATGGGATACCTTTTTTGCTTGAAAGTATGATCACATAGGGTTAGGGCTATTAGGCTAATGTAAATATCTAATGCAATTTCTAACTAATATTTAGTGTTCAACAAACATAGACTATATTTCTGTTGCTTAATTGTTTTAATAATAGAATGTATTTCTAGGAATATTGTGATCCATCCATGTACATTTTGCACCACCAAAACTTCGTTTGCTTATGGTTGGATTCGTGATTGTTAATTCTTCACACAAGGGAAACTAAAGGAAAAACCAAGGAACAGGATCTCAATCACCTTGGACTGTAAATTTATAATTTTGGGACTAATATTTGCCACAATTAAGTTCATTTGTACTAAGGCATTATTATTTTGGATTTTATCATTTTCTTGCTACTGTAAGACTACTTCTTGTTTTTATTTCTAGCTATTTAGTATTCCTCAGTTGCCTCTTTTTCTTATCAGTACTTGCAGCTTTCTCATCAGAGGAACTTATAATCATGCTTGATTCTTTGCACTGTCACAGGATTATTCTCATTGGGGAATTGTTGAACCTTTACCTTCTTATGGACGAGGGATTGAACTTCCAGGTGCAAGATATCGTAGCTTGATTACTGGGTATAATTTAACTGATGTGGTGATAACAGGTAAGAATATCTCTTTATTTTTCTTTCTCTGTGATTTTTCTTCAGTCACCGTTCCTAATTTTTTCTGTTAATTATTATACCTTCAATTTGATGCACCAGGTGACAATGGAACTATTGATGGCCAGGGTTCTGTCTGGTGGAAGCAGTTCAGTTCTCATTCTTTAAACTACAGCCGTCCGCATCTTGTGGAATTTGTCAGCTCAGAAGACATTGTCGTGTCAAATATTACCTTCTTAAATGCCCCTGCCTGGAATATTCATCCAGTATATTGCAGGTTACAGGGTTAACGTTCACCAATACTTGTTTCTCTCTTTTCATGCTCAGTTTACACTATGATTTACATTCTTTACACTTTTGGTTTTAATGCAGCAATGTGCGAGTTCAAAACATAACCGCCTATTGTCCTCCATCATCTCCTTACACAAGTGGAATAGTCCCAGGTTTGTAGGAAATTTTTTTGGACGCAGTTCATTCTTCTCTATATCGATTGGATGCATCTTTTACTTAGGTTATGAATCGGTTTAGCAAACTGTTTTTCTCAACCATCAACACATTTCGAACTCTGTTGTGAACACTAGTTGGCAAAAAATATTGAAAATACCCTTCCACTATCAATATACAAAATGTTTCCTATAGGTACTGGCCTTGTATTCATTCTCTTAAAGCACATTATAATATGATACTTTTATCTGATGTAAGAGGAAATGAAATTTTTCAGATTCTTCTGAGGATGTATGCATTGAGAAAAGCAACATTAGCATGGTTATGATGCCATTTCACTTAAAAGTGGTTGGGATGAGTATGGAATTGATTATAGCAGACCAACCACAAATGTTCACATCAGAGATGTAAACCTCCAGTCTTCTGTTGGCTCCGGTTTGTCCCTGGCAGTGAAATGTCTGGTGGCATTTTAGAAATTCTTGCCGAGCGGCTTCACCTGCACGATTCACTTATTGGCATTGGAATCAAGACAGCAAGAGGAAGGGGAGGTTACATAAAAAATGTTCTTATATCAGATGTGGAAATTATAAATGT